CGATACTCATGTTTGATGTCTTGCATGTGAGCCTGTGAAACTGAAGTAACATCAGTTGATTGTGTGCAAACACTTGCTTAATTTGATTCAGAATTTTGAGCTTTGTAATGTTTCCAGCTTTGCCATATTGGAACTAGCAGGTTTTTGTTTTTGACAAGCACGTGAAGATAAATGGTTACTGAGATCTGATTAAGCCAATCTATATACCACCTTCATTTCAGTTAAAATAAAATCAATGTAGTTCAAACATATCCTTCTGAGAAGATAAGGAAGATTAAAAAAGGATGAATGGCCTGGTATTGAGCTACAGGTGACAAAGTCAGCCACATCTGTTGGTCTAGAATGACTAATAAAGACATTTCTAATGCTGTGGGACTCCAGAAAGCCAAATTAGATTAATCATAAATCAACAATAAGGGATACTTTGCTAAAATGCTATCCACAGGAGAGATGAGAGATGCAAATAAACCTGCTCTAGACCAAAAAAAGTACAATTTTCGAAGATGATGCCAGAGAACATATTGGCGATCCCACAGACCTTCGTTAAAATATTTTATGGACTAACTAAACAAAGGTTTGTGTCTCATTGCATCTAACATAAATTTAATGCACCATTTCAGAAAAAATGATCATGTAGTAAAAGATTTTTTTTTGGTACTTTGTTATGGGGCTACTTTGCTGCCTTAGGGTCCTGGTAGCACAACTTGTGTTAATCATGAATTTTGCTCTCGATAATTAAATGCCAAAGGAGGATGCCCATCTATTAGTTGGTGACCTTAAGTTCAATCTTATTTAGCTTATGCAACAGAACTTTAGAGTGACCTAATCAAGAGACTTATCTGGACATATTCATTTGAGATCATGAGACTCAAAGCATCCATACAGGAAAAACTCCTTAGCAACTCCTACCCAGTTAATGCAACCACTTAATGAACCCACAATTGTTTTATAAGTAATGGGATTGATATATTAGAGTCTGGTTGGTTATGATAGTTTTTTTTTTTTATTAATAATGAAATTATATTTTATCATTCATATACTTACTGAGCTTGTTCTTACTAACACTTTATTACAATCTATCCATTTATAGACTGAGAAAAAAGCAAACACTGAATATACCTTCTATTAAAACTTTGGACTTTTTTTTCCCACTTTCATTAACTCAATATTTCAGAAGCAAGATGATGCATTTTTTATTTAAGTCAAAGATATTTTGGAGCAGGAGCCAGATGGTTTGTGCCGCTGTCTTTACACCTTGGATTCATTTTTTATGTACAGTCCATTCTAATAAGAGGAGACAGCAGGCTGACCATTAAGGTACATTTATATTTATAACTTCAGCACCACCAAGTGTTATATCTTGTTACCTGAAACATTTTCATTTTCATGCCCAAAATACCTAAGTTGGCATACCATCATACTATGTAGTTTCTTTCATGCAATGAAAGTGTTACAGATTTATCTGTGTGTGAGTAAACTGTAAAGTAATGTTTAAAGCTTTATCATAATTTATAATAAAATGCATGCACCCTTAACAGTAAATAGGATATATGACTTGGTGATCTGGATCTTTTCCTAAAATCGTTTATCAAGGTTCCTAGAAGTGAACACAAAATAGATTGTGGAAAAAATATATGTATTTCTAGGCCTTTTAAAAGTTCTGTCCGCCCATCTGCCTATCCAGCTGTCTGTTATAACCTGAGATTTCTAAATGTCCATATTAGCAGGCTCATCGCTCTAAAAATATCTGTAATAAATTCACATTAAAACTTTTGTATTTTTATTCAAAAAAATGATGCAGAAAAATGTTGTACAGTGATCCCACTACTCTAGATTCTTTTTATACCATCTAATTTGCTAATTGAAAGACCAGTTGTTTCTCATTTACCATTTAGAAAAGCAAACAATCTGAAGGACCTGTGAGCAGCATCAAATAGACTTTAAACTGTGTTGTTTAAAGCTAAGATAATCATGTGTGTCCTTTGGGACAAACTGGTTTAATGAATCATAGCACCCCCCTGCTGTGCTCTACAGTGAAAAATTATTGTGCTTAATGTCACTGACGGAAATAGGTGAGTATTACCAAAAGGGTAATGTTTCAGAGGGAGAGCAAAATGAGTCACTGCCCTTTCAGGGAGGAAACACTCTTCTTTTTCCACATGGAAGGCTTGTTGATCGCTTTAATAACTTAAGTATTGCCACCTGCTTTTGTTGAGTGAAAAAAATAAAAAAATAAAAACATAAATATTTATTTTTTATTAATAAAATGTTGAGAAATGTATATTGATGCCCTGAGTTGTTTCTTTGTCTTTATGAAATACATTGATTTAATTGCGTCAAACAACAGAACTTACAATTTTTTTCATTCATTTAATCTAAATATATAATCAGAAATGTGTTTTCTAGATAAAGGAAATCTTAGGTCACCATGCCTTAAAATTACGGTGGCCTAGAGGTGTCAACTCTAATCTTGTAGCAATCTACTTTTTAATCAATTCTGTTTAATTATATGTTGACATTTCACAGCACATCGTATAAAGGCAATTTAAAGAGTCAATTCAATCAAAAGATACCAAGAGAGATTGGATACAATCATCTTTTTGTAAGGGAACTTACATATGCGGTTACTGCTGACCGCATAGCATCCCTCAAAAGTTACATTTGCGCAGTGTCTTTCTGCATGTAAATTTATAGACATCTGTATCCACAGTGGAACGTTATGCTAGAGGTCCTGTAATGACATTTCAGTGTTTGGAAAACTTTCTTTCAGCATGTTACGGACCACTTTAGGGTCAAATTGGTGGAACGGCAATTACCTGCTGCAGTTGTTTTGATTGTCCTCTGATGTACACTGTTATCTAGACAGTCTAAAAGAAAACTGAAAGCTGTTGAAATCACTGCCCAGATAACCTTATAACCTTTTACTCTTCTCTTTGATAACCAAAGCTCTACCCATAGTTTTCAGTCTCACCATCAACAGTGAGAATCTAAACGTTTGAGGTTTAACCAGGGCAAAACTGCTTATTAAAGATGTTCACATTACGTCTGTCTAATGTGAAAAAACATGAGCTCTTTTTTAGTAAGGCATGGCAAGGTTATTTATACAGCATATTTCAGTTGCACAATTAAAAGTGCTGTACTGCGTATGAAAAAAAAAAAAATTGCACTGCGGTGGCATAAAGATTATACAAATATTTAGAGGATATAAACATAAAATTTAAATTAGATGAATGTATTAAAAAGATAAGATAATTTATAGAAAAATGGAAGGAGTGATTGGCCTGAAAAAGTAGTTACTGTATCTTTAGATAGCAAAGTCAATGGTCACTATCTTTAGATAGCAAAGTCAATAAACTTTTTCATTCTCGATTTTAAGAAATTTAGGTTTTCAGGTTTTATTTAGTCTATTCAAGATTAATTGACCATAAGAACTAAATGCTTCTTCTCCATGTTTGGTTCTGTATATGTAGAGTAGATTAAAGTCAGAAGACCTAAGAGGTCTGGGTTTTTTATTTTGTACTTAGCTTATGACTTCTGATTTTTAAATCAGATAATCAATTTTGGTTTCAAATTGTTTTTCGGTATTTAGTTGTATTTTTTGAAACTGCTTAGTTTCAGTTTAGTTTAAATTAGTTTAGTTATAGTGTACTGTACAATGTGTTTCTCATACTGAGGGCAATACTAAAATAAAACTAAATAAAACTCTATAATTGTTAAGACTAAGCACATAAAATCTTAAAATTCAGTTGGTTTTAATTAGTTTTGTAAACATGTATTACAGTTTCAGTTAGTTTTTTTTTTTGGATGTTCTAGTCTTTATTGTTGTTTTAGTCAGCAAAAAAGTTCATTATTTTGTTAGTTTATTTAACAAGACAGCAAGCCTGTAATGTATTTTAGACCTAAGCCAGTTAGTGATTTATTGATGAGCGGAAGTATTTTAAAATCTATGCTATGAGGTTGTATGAGATTCAACTGTAGCTGTCTGTTTAACTTATAAGGTTTTGAAGTCAATATACAGTAAATATACTGCAAATTCGAAATTCTACTAAAGATGAACATATAAATTTGTTTTTCAAGGTCTTGCTGAGATGTTAGTAATTTAATCCTGCAGATTTTCGTTAAGTGATAGAAGGCGGATTTTGTCCTAATGTTCCTCTAAAGGTGCAGAGTCCATCATTATATCCAGATTTCAAGCCTGATTTAAGTTGTGTTTGGCTCTATTAACTTAATAGTGAGCTAATTTTTTAACACTCTTTCTTTGGTTCAAAATTATTCCACATTGTTTTCTTCTATGCATTCTCCAAGCACTTAAATTGATTCATGATCACCTGGTGACAATGTAATGCACAGCTGTGCATCATCTGCATACTTATTGTTGCTTATGTTACTGTTTATTAGGATCTGAGTTAGGAGAAAGATGTAGATATTGAATAGGAGGGGCCCTAAGAATGACCCTTGAGGAACACCAAATGGGATTTTTGTGGTCTCTAATGTAAAGATTCTTACTGACACAAAAAGTCCCTGTCCTTCAAGTAACCGGTCAAGAGCTACACCTGAAAGGCTGACTCAGTTTTCCAGATGTTCAAATAAAACGGAGTGGTCGACAGTGTCACTAAGGTCTGATAATAACACCACAGCAGTTCTTTCACTGTCTACATTTATGCTAAAGTCATTGAATGCCATGATAAGGACATTGAAGTGGCTGGTCATTGTTAGTAAGATGTTTAACTGTTAACAAGCAGCTTTTTTAACAATCTTACTGATGGAGATGTTTGCGATAGTAGGAATATATGTGTCGGTACATATTATGTTGCTCACCAGAGCCTTTCAGGATTGCATTTTGCTAATGGTTTTATCTTATTAATCGAATTAGTCCGCATTGATGTTGAATATTCATTCGTACAAATATGTATATATAATATATAAGGCTTCATATGATGTCCTAATAATATTTTTAATTATGTATATGCATATGTTTTCGCTTCCTACCCCTTTTCCAGGCTGTCTCTCTTCTGCACCATGAGTGTGAATTCTTCCTTCAGCTGGAGAAGGAGAAGCACCTCTGCCAACAGTTCAATACCGAGGAGGAAAATAGAGGCACCAAAGGTGTATTTTCACTTTTCTAAACAAGAAGGCTTTAGCAGCTCATGAATTGAAAAGTTGCTGTGTGTGATATGAAGTATACAGCAGGTGGTCGCTGGTCACATTGAAATGGAAGAACTCCTTCACAGAGAACCATGAGCTCTCTGGGCAGATGATTTATAGTATGGGAAAAACATCAACAGAAAAATAAGCTCAGTGATCTATCACTGCATGTATAGAATAAAACTTTGGGTATACATTTAAAATTACATGGAATGTCAGGGTTCTTCTTTTTAATGGTCTAAAGATGGTTTAGATAATGCTGCATGGATAAAATGCCCACACCGTGCATATGAGTAACTTTCTTCCCTGAAATCCCCTTCTGAAAGGTTGTCGGCCATTATGGGATGAAATCTTCTGCTGGCCTCAAGCTGCCACTGGGGAAACTTTGCAGAGAGATTGTCCTGCAATCTTTTCATTTTCCAGCAACAAAACAGGTAGGTTATTGTGATTTGTCTTTTTCATACAGAAAAACTAAAATCATTACCTATTTATATGCTGATGAAGGTTCTCAGTCATCCAGGTCATAGTCATTCCGTAGAAATTCAAAAAATATCCACTGGACTTGGTTTTCAAGATTCAAGATTTCAAATCCTGAAAACCAAGTCCAGTGGATATTTTTTGAATTTCTACGGAATTGCCTATTTATCTACTTGTTTGGGTGTCTAAGGCTTCCTCACCTTGTGATTGGTGGTTGCAAGGTATCAATGGTTTGCTCTCAAATTACTTTTCAAATCTAATAACAAGTGAAAAAACACAATAAAGAAGCAAAAGATCTAGTGGAGAACTTGGTAAGTAAAAGTAAGAAAACTTAGTAAGAGTTGCTATTTAGAAAACTGGTGATTCTCTGATTACTTTTTGCTTCAGGCACATGCCTTATTTATGTCATTTCTGATGTAAATGTTTAAGACAGAATGAGGTTGCTTTGCCTTCACTTGCAGCTGGTCCAATGGGAGGTTTCCGTCACTTTTCCAGCTGTTCAGATGTTTAGGTATATTTTCTAAATATTTTCTACTAAATAAACTGTGTAGGTATGTTCAAACAATTTGGATTTCCTTCCACAAGCATCTCACAACAGTTGCCATAGTTTTAACCCTATCCTCCTGACAGAATGTAACAGAGTAAGCCTCCTTGCTGTATATTCTAAGAATTTTAGATCAAGGATTTGTAATGGGTGTTGCAACTACTTAAAAACTTTGCTGTTCATATGTATTTTTTGTAAATGACTTAGCAGTACTGTATATGCAGGGTCATTGTTTGGAAGACCCACTTGTGCACACATTTTTAGTAAGTGATGTGTTTCTTCTAAATTGCTACACATTTTTTCCTCTTGATGTCATGTATTTAATGAAGCACTTGAGTTCCTCCAGTAGTAAAACACCCACACAGCATGATGCTGCCACACCTTTACTTTACAATCAACCCAGTCTTAATGGAAAATGTGTAACACACATTGGTCCACAGGGAAAAGTGTGTCTTTAATAATTCTCTCAATCCCACTTGTTATTTGACACTGTAGGAGCCATTTACCTTATTTTCTGTATTTATCTCTACCAGGGGGTGCATTTCCTTTTGCTCTTTGATTATGTTAGAAGGGGGATGGGTTTATTTAAGGTCAAGTGTCATTCTCTTCAAGTGTTGCTACATGAAAAAAGGAAAAAGTTTTCTACTGAGCCTAGTTAGATGTTATGTTGGTTTATTTTGTATTAAATGGAAATAGAAAGACAATGGACAAAAGAAAATAAATGTACTTAGGCATAACTCCAAAGAAGATCTGCATATTCTTGATAGAACACATGTTAGGCCAGAACCTACCAAGAGAGAAAGCAACCAGTAGCCTAAAATATAACATTTTAGCTTCTACAGACACATTAACTTATATTAGCTTTCCACCAGGCCATGTAAATATCAGCAAGAAAAACAAAATTGTCAACCATTCCTCGGCTTTATGTGAAAGATAAAACATGTTGAAAAAAGTATCGACATACACACCTTAATTACATTTTTAGATAGAGGTTTGCACTGTGTTTTCATATTTGTCCATGGAATGCAGATTATATTTTAAATGTTTTTTTATGGTTTTATTTCTTTATTCCTTTTATTTTCTCCTCAAAAAGATTAGATGAGATGTGTTATCTAAACTATAAATACCACAGGTTTTCCATTGTGAACCAGCTTGGGAAATTACATGTTTTTCATTGAGACCCAGTTGTTACGTTGGGGATGATGTTCTGTTGTATGTACGTTTTCTCAATTTTTATCCAAATGTAACCAAGGTCTTTAAGGTCAAACATTTGATTTTGAGTTTCATTAAACCATTAGACATGTGTCAAAAAAGTAAGGAGATTGCTAGATGGGATTTTCAAAATGATGATCTGGCTTTTTATCTTCTTTAGATTGATGGCCTTTAACATATTGTCCAAGGAAAAGGGATGTGACATCTGGACTTTACTATACCGTTAAAAACTGTATGAATAACTGTATGAGCTACATGAATAAAATAAAAACTGTCTCTCTGTTCACTATTATAAAGCACTTAGAAATAAATATAATCATTTGTGCTGATCTTGAGAAGCAGCATACTTAAATAAATGTCTTTAAATGTGTTGGATGGTATGCTCAGAAGTATTATTGATGGCCTAATAAAATGTGTCTTTCATAGTAAAAGAAGAAAGTGTCAGAGCTTTCAGAAACACATAAAGAATGCCTGATTCACCTCCTGGGAAGAAGGTATATTATCAAAAATCAATTGGAAAGCCGACTTCCAACAATGAAAGAGTGTGTCATGGTCATATAGAGTCAGAAAGATCCAAGCACCACAGCTCAGGCAAAGGCCTTATAGCTCAAACTCAAGGGGTCCTTGACAGGGGCATTGCAGGCTTTATAATTACAAATACGAACAATGTTGATGGGAGGGCACAAAACAAGGCACAAAACAAGGGAATGGAAATCCTGAAAATTGAATGACTATGAGAACTACAGTGAATCTGAAACTAGCAAATTCTAGCCGAGAAATCACAGCAAAGAAAAAGTTAACTTTTCAAAAGAATTAGTACCTCTTTCAGAACAAGAAACTTAGGTCTGTTAAATTGGGTTCCTAACTATGTTACAAGATGCTTCAGAGAACCTGTCATTTAACCAGACACAGTGTTGTGTTTAAAAGGTTTATTGAATGTTGGTGACAAGTCTAACAGGCTGGTATTAGGCTGAAAAGGAAGAAGATTGCAGAACATGATGGAGATTGGCTGATAAGGCTGGTTTGAGTAGGCTGAACATGCTGGTAAAATATTTAACAGGCTTATTGGAGGCTTGAGAAAACAGATGAAAGATTAACAGTTTAGTAACAGACTTTGATAATGCAGATTTGACTGGCTGAAAATGCTAGTAGAAGGCTTGAACAAGCTGGTGACAGGCAGAGGCTGTCCAGGTCATGACCAGAGTTAGAGGCTGTTGAGAATCCAGTGAAGACAAAGTGCGCACAGGAACACAGAAGACAAGCGGTGAACACAAGCACTTGAACAAACCTTAGACTAAGGCAACTTTTATTGTCATCTTGCATACACAGAGCTTATACAAAACGAAATTTTGTTTTCATGACATTTCCATTTCCTAAAGTGCAGCAGTGATCAAATGTAAACAGTGTGGGAGAAAAAAAACATGGTGCAAAAAATGCATTGAGATGGAAGTTCCAAGCATTAAATAAATATAAGGTGCAATTATGCAATTATTATCTCTTTTACTAACAACACCAAACCAAACACTCCTTGGTTGCATACAAACAGGAAGACAATCTGGCAGAGACAGACAGAGAGACAGCTATCAATAGTTATGATAACAGAAGGGAGGAATGATAAAAACTGCACATCTGCTATCTCTGATAGCCAGCCCAAAAAATAACCAGAGTCAGGCTGCATGTAAATATTATAGATAAAAGTAAATAAGTGCAAAATTTGAAGTGGAGAAAAAAAAAAAAAAAAAATATATATATATATATATATATATATATATATATATATATATATATATATATATATATATATATATATATATATATATATATATATATATATATATATATATATATAAAATCTTTTTTTTGATTTATTACAATTTTAAAGGTGAGATGTGCTTGTGTGTTATGCACCTGACCTAGTCCTAGAATTGCAATTAGCAGAAATTGAAGCTTTAGTAGCTCAAAGTCATTCTGTATTAGTAGTTCAAGCATCTTTGCTTTAAATCAGAAAATGTGTGTAGAACATTCTTGGAACAGGCACAGAACTTGTGGCAATACTGCATTCCACTAACTCTACTCAGTTAAAATATCAATCTCAACTTGACTATATCATAGTTAAAAGTAGGTTATCTGTAGATTTTAACTTTTTTCTTTTACTTAATTTGAACTTAAGGGCCAGACTCACTAAAATAATACTGAAATGGATTCTATCTACCTCAGTATGCAATATTTGTGAAAACTAAGGTGAAATTTGGCTGAATAATCCTTAACAGTAACTCAAAAATATTGCACCTATTTCAGCAAAAATTACGAAACTAAGCAACAGGATTGAAGAAAAAGGTAACAGAATGTAGGAAAATAAATATTTGAATATTATATATTTATATATATTGTGTACTAATCTGCTTTTTTTTTGCATCTTGGAATTAGGGTACAATTTGCACCTTTTATGAGCAACTAAATTACATGTAAAAAATGCCTTTTTTACCATTTTATTTCCTGCTCCTAAGATTCAACTCTTTCTGGATTTTAGTTCTTTAGTTTCCTAAGTGATGTTGGCACCCACAAAGTCTTCATATAAAACACATTTGATGTCAAACATTTGTGCTACATTAATGCTGGTTTTTCATTGCAAAAGCTTTTATTTATCCTGCTGTCACTTTTAAGTTATTAACAAAGGTTTGCAAGTCAATATGTCAACCAGCCCCCTCGTATTACCTAAATTAAACTAAATTGATGCCAATCAACTCATTTAACAGAGGCTTTGGCATGAGGACAGAACTCTAAGATCTCTAAGATTGAGTGGGCTCTGCCCACATTAAATTCACTATTAATGCAGCCATTGTGGGAACATTTTAATCAATATGTCTATACGGCTTTATTGAATTGACTCTGTAAAGTGCCTTGAGATGAGGTGTTATGGATGAAAGCTTTAAAAAATAATACTGAGTTGAATCGAAATTAATAAAATTTTATTGTGATTCTAAACAAATACTATCCTCTCATTGATACAGATGACTCCTTAATCTCTTAATGTTCATTTCCAGGGTTGGTGAGCAGGAACTGCACAAGTCAAGGCTGGTCACAGCCTTTCCCCCCGTACCAAGTCGCTTGCTACGAGGATGTTGACATTCCTGAGGTAAGGGTTGTTGAAGCATGACCGCTTAGGAGGTTAAACGTAGGAATGAGGCTCCTCAAGATTAAGAGCGCACAGGTCAGGGAGAATATTGGAAACAGCTGGGAAAAGCAGCAGGATGATTTGTACTCACTTATTCAGTGTAGATAGGGAAGGAAGCTCAAAAGAAGCAGAAGGACAAGCTGAAGGGTAAACCTGCAGCAGAATCACCATGCCAGACAAGCAAATTACTGAGAAACGACTCCGTGATTCAGGAGCTTTAATAATTGAAATTAAAAGCATATTAACCAAATGTTAAGAAGGATTTCTGGAGCAGAAAAGAAAACCTTTTCTACTGTAAGAATGAAAATATATTTGAAGAGCAGAATGATAGGTCACTTAGTGCTAAATAGCTGAAATTATCTTAGTTCAGAGAAAAGAAGGGAATGGTACTTAATAATGATGTTGCTTTTGGAAGACATTAAGTCTGCCATGAGGTAGCGCACTTTTTGTTTTGATGTAAAAAGGCTTGTAAATGTTCTAAAAGCTGCTTTGATAGGACCTTCCCTGCATTTGTTTCGCTGGCATCTCTAAAGTACAGCTGGGTCTCAACTTTTCTAGTAATTCTGTCTTATTTTGAGACATTACTCTTTCCTTATTTGTTTTAAAACCCCTGCAGCTTTGATATTTTAATGTAATCTCCTTTCACACCTTCTCTCACAATCCTTTTTTCTTGTTTTGCTTTTAGATGGAGGAGTTATATTTTGCCACTGTGAAGCTGATATACACCATTGGTTACAGCGTCTCTCTGGGGGTTCTGGCTGTTGCTGTGCTTATCCTGCTGGTCTTCAGGTATAAACTTGATATCTAAAGACATTTGTGGTTTCCCAGAACCACAGAAATGTTTTTTTTTTACCCAGCTGAGTTTGGTATTAAGTGTAACTTAGTAAATGTAGGTCAATGCACCACACAGAGCTGTGCTCATAGTTGCTGTTTTTAGATGATTCTAATAATGGTGTTTATATTCGCTGTTGATTCAATTAGAACTTAGTGTTCAGGTTTTATAATGCTTTTTATTGCATTTTAGAGACCAGTTTTGATTTTTAAATGAGTCTCTGAACACCTGCTGTTTAAAAAAATGTTTATTTACACTTGAAATATAAATTTGTGTGCAGGGGGAAAAAAAAGAAAAATGATCTGTACAGATACACTGTCTTTCAACAATTTCTTAATTGGCACCAAGCTGCCTCCCTGGCTGCAGAAAACTGATCCAATTAAAAGAGTTACTCTCAGCTGCAGCTGAAGCTCCAGTCCATGAATTAAATCACTTTGCAAAACCCTGTTTGACCACCTTTCCTTACAGCTTCATTTAGTTTCCGCTTTTGTTCCAAGTTGATTTAATTACCAATCAATATAAAGGATACTATAAAAGTCCTCTGCTGTTATTGAGGCCGAACCACATAATATTCTCTAGATTATTACAAATAAGTTAATTCAATCAGATTTTTGTCACTTTCTCAAATAGTTTTATTTTTGTTCTGATCTCCTTTTGACTTTTTAGCTCTGAAAAAAAGAAACATGCTGTTAGGATTTTTCAATAAAGTCTTATTAATAGATAATATTTGTTGGAGTAATTTCACAACATTTCCTACCCATTCATTCTTTCATTTTCTTCACACACTTAATCCCGAGTGGGGAGTGCTGGTGCCTATCTCCAGCTGTCTACGGGCGAGAGGCGGGGTCCATTTCCTACCCAAAGACCATTAAAAGTTTACATGTCTTTTCAAATAACTTAGAAACGTTTGGGGGGTTATTTGATAATCAATTAGAGGTCCAAAATAATCAGTGTCATTATTTTCTTTTGAAACTGAAGAGGTTTGAACAAGAAGACAGAACACGAGGAGTACAAAATGCAACGGTGACAAATAAGTGGCTCTCTTTATTAATCTGTTTTTAATGTTTTTTATACTAACTTTAAAAACTAGAAATATAATAATGCTTCCATAGTAGTAAAGTTAGTGAGGGTTTCATTTCACTACCTTATGGTGGCTCTAAGACAAGGCTAGTGGAGGCAGACATCTTTGCGTTTCTGCAGCATACAGCTGACAACCCAATGACTGTAGAGATTCTCTCTCTTCCTTGTCTAATAACCCCATACCACAGTCAAGATTTGGACTCTCTGAACAGGAAATATATATGCTTCTAACCAACACAGTCTCGTTAGACAGGGTGTTGCAGCTCATAGGTTAGTGGTTCAGCTACAGTTTAAGCAAGAATAGAATAGAATAAAACTTTATTGATCTCACAAATGAGAAATTCACTTGTTACATCGGCTCTTACAAACAACAGAAGGTGCACATAGGAGGAAAAAGTGCATGAAGTACATCCAGATATATACAGTGGATGGTAAAAAAATAAAGGAGAGATTTAAGGGGACATATATATATACAGTATCTTGTGCACATGAAAGTGTTGGCAGGTAAAATGCGGTTTCTGGTTTGTTTAATAGATAAATAGTATTTAAGTTATTGCAGTGTTATTACACAAGGTTATAGACCAGTGGCATTGTGAAGTCTGATGGCAGCAGGGATAAATGACCTGCAGTAGCGCTCCTTTTTACACACGGAGTGAATAAGTCTGTTACTAAAGGAGCTGCTCAGCTCAGGAAGGGTGTGTCTCCTATGATCCTAAATGATGGCTTTGTTTTTGTTCCAACAGCTTTATACAGAATGATGTTGGGAAATTTATGCAGATTCTAAGCTTAAACAAACTTCTTTTACAAAAGGAATGTGAGGAGCAAGGATGGTTTGAGAAGGTTTTTATTGTGTGTTTTCAAACACATGGGCTTCAGCTGAGGGGGAAAGCAGGGGTTTCCCTGACATAGTCACAATTTGTCATATGGCAATGCATTAAATATGTTACATACAATTTACATACTTGCAATTTTTTCCCTAGGTCTATGCTTCTAATTCCAGTATGATGCCATCAGATGAGTGTAAAATGAACTTGAAAATATTTCCAAATCAACATATTTGTTTAACAAAGAGTTACTGAAAACAGCTGCTGAGTTCCACATAGTGAGAACCAGTATTGTACCAGACTCTCCTTAACAGAGATTAATTCTAAGCTCAGTTCTTCAGCTTAGAATTAATTGATTTGTTTTCTTTGTTCACCAGCTACATTTTTCTAACTATGTTCTGAACTGACTCTCTTCATTTATCATAATTTATCTTATATAAAGTTAGAAAATATAGGATCATGATTTCCTTCACATTTACAATATGGATTATTCATTTTTTTAACCTTTTTTTTCCCCTCTTATTGTTTTTGGTCTAATTAATGACTGAATTTCCAAAACTGCTGCTATTATTCATGTTTTAATAGTTTCAGCAACAAAAAGATAAATGAGAATGAAAATCTGGCCAACAATTGTGCTTTTTTTCTCACTTTTAACCCCCTTAGAAGCAGGTTTGGATTTGGTTTTTGTATGTGTGTGTGTCTGTGTGTGTGTGTAATTGTTCAGTTGTAATAATAAAAAACTACCAAAAATGTTTCTTTCTTTAAGGGATTACATCAGTAAATGAACACAATACCATCAACTCTGATGGTCTCACTTTAAGCTTCCAAAAATATTATAAGAATACCAAAGCATAATTGGCACAGTGAAGAATAAAAAGAATGTAAAGAATAATTTAGAATACATTTGATTAAATAAATATAAATGTATTTAAATTAGTACATTTGAAAACTAAGAGCTGAAAGAATTTGAAGACATTTCCGTTTGTGTGTGTTTCATAAATATATTACATTATAGCCTTAAGCACAGTGTGTTTGTTTGCATATTTTTCAACAGGAGGCTAAGATGTGCCAGGAACTTCATTCACATCCAGCTCTTCCTCTCTTTCATGCTGAAATCTGTGGCCGTGTTTATAAAGGATGCCAATCTATTACCTAGTTATGATACCAACCACTGCACCCTCTCTACAGTAAGATACTCTCTCAAGTGGAGTGTTCGGGCCAGATTTTACTGTATAAGTAATAAGTCTTTGTTTCTGTCCAGTTTGCCTGCAAGGCTTCTGTGGTTTTCTGCCACTACTCTATGATGACTAATTTCTTTTGGCTCCTGGTGGAGGCGCTCTATCTCAATTCCCTGCTGCTCTCCTCCTTCAACCACAGCCGCCGCTGTCTTTGGGGTCTAAGTCTGCTGGGATGGGGTAAGAAGCCCACCACACTTCGTCTAAGAAGCAAAAACAACAAAAACTATTTTTGTCTCTGTGAGTGAGAAGCTATAAATGTCAAGTTTTCTGCTTACCATGTAGACTTCGGCAGATATATGCATGCATGCAAATTACTTCACGTTCAAACAAAAACTTTGCCTTTTATACCTTTTTATTGTGGTTTTGTACACAAGCATGTCTCATCCAGGCAATGTCTGAATCGTCTGTCTGTATTGATCAGACTCATTATTAAGGCTAATTTACCAAAGCCGCTCCAAAACTGATACCTATATTTTTCTTGCAACCCTCAGTAGTATGGTTTCTATGATTTACTTTTGAAGTCTAAATATAATGTGACATTACAGGCCATCCATCAAGGTTTCATCCTACATTTCATTTACCAACAGAAACTGTTTCAGTTCAACTGTGTCCAGCTACCCTGCCTTAAACACATTTCTCATGATAATTCACAAACAGTAATGAATGAAAAAAACTGTGCCTCTACCAAATACTTCTATGTGGTTACCAAACTGAACAAACAGGCCTTCTACTAAAACTAATCACACCAGTCCAACTGCTAAGGCTGTTAATGTAACAGTTCATTAATGGTACATTAGGAGACACAATTTCCTTTTTATCATGTTAGACTGGAGAGGAAGTTCAATTATAGAATAGAATTATTTAGTTATATAGCAACAATTCACAATTCAATTCAATTCAATTCAATTCAATTCAGTTTATTTATATAGCGCCAAATTCACAACACATGTCATCTCAAGGCACTTTACAGTTCAACCAGATCATACAGTCAAATTGATACAAAGTTTTCTATCTAAGGAAAACCAGCTGATTGCATTGACTCATTGACTCAAATACAATCCCCCACACTAAGCATGCTTGTAGCGACAGTGGAGAGGAAAAACTCCCTTTTAACAGGAAGAAACCTCCAGCAGAACCAGGCTCAGTGTGAGCGGCCATCTGCCGAGGCCGACTGGGGTTCAAGGAGACAGAAGCAGAGATACAAAAAGCAGCTGTAAAAGGCGGCCCCGTCCAGGAAACACACAGCCAGGCAGACGAGCTCCAAGGCAGCTCCCATGCCAGAGGACGAAGAGAGCACATCCACTCAGTCACGGTCAGAGAAACAGGACCACACTGGAAAACAGGCCGATCTCCAACATCTATTAACAAGGGTGTTGATAGAAGCAGCACAGCTGATGTTTTTTTCCAGGATGACGTCACAGCCAAACAGGAACAGACGAGGCAAAGCTACTCTGAGGAAAAGCAGAGAGAGCAGAAGGTTAGAGATTGAACTAACAGATTCTGCAGAATAGGAGAACAGAGAGAGAATGAAGCAGAATGATGAAATGGGGGTCCCTATGTCCTCCAAAAGTCTAAGCCTATAGCAGCATAACTATAGAGATAGCTCAGGATAACCTGAGCCACCCTAACTATAAGCTTTATCAAAAATGAAAGTTTTAAGCCTAGCCTTAAAAGTAGACAGGGTGTCTGCCTCACGGACTAAAACTGGTAGTTGGTTCCACAGGAGAGGAGCCTGATAACTAAAAGATCTGCCTCCCATTCTACTTTTAGAAATTCTAGGAACCACTAGTAAACCTGCAGATTGAGAGCGAAGTGCTCTGTTAGGAACATAAGGAACAATCAGATCTCTGATATAAGATGGAGCTTGGCCATTTAAGGCTTTATATGTGAGAAGGAGGATTTTAAATTCTATTCTTGATTTAACAGGAAGCCAATGAAGAGAAGCCAGGATAGGAGAGATATGATCTCTCTTTTTCATTTTCATTAGAACTCTGGCTGCAGCATTTTGGATCAGCTGAAGGCTTTTAACTACAGTTTGTGGACTTCCTGATAGTAAAGAATTACAATAGTCCAGCCTTGAAGTAACAAATGCATGGACTAGTTTCTCAGCATCACCCCTGGACAGGATATTTCTAATTTTTGCAATGTTCCTCAGATGAAAGAAGGAAATTCTAGAAACCTCTTTGATATGGGATTTAAATGACAGGTCCTGATCAAAAATAACACCAAGATTTTTTACTTTATTATCTGAAATCAGTTTAATCCCATCCAAATGAAGTGACTGGCTAATCAGCTTCTTTTTCAGAGACTCTGGTCCAAAGACTATAACTTCTGTTTTGTCTGCATTCAGAAGCAGAAAGTTAAGAGTCATCCAGGTTTTTATGTCTTCAAGACATGCCTGTAATCTATGTAATGGGTTAGCTTCATCTGGATTTATAGACAGATATAGCTGGGTATCATCAGCATAACAGTGGAAATTAATCCCATGCTGTCTAATAATTCTACCAATTGGGAGCATGTATAAAGTAAAGAGAATTGGTCCTAGCACTGATCCCTGTGGTACTCCACAGGTAACCTTTGAGCGTGTTGAAGATCTATCATTAACATGAACAAACTGAATTCGATCAGATAGATAAGATTTAAACCAGTCTAGTGCTGTTCCTTTAATTCCAACAAAATATTCAAGTCTTTCTAAAAGAATATTATGGTCAACTGTATCAAATGCAGCACTAAGATCCAACAGGACGAGCACAGATACAAGTCCATTATCTGAGGCCATGAGAATATCATTAGTGACTTTCACCAGAGCTGTTTCAGTGCTATGATGAGCTCTAAAGCCAGACTGAAACTCTTCAAAAAGTTAATTATGGTGGAAGTGATCGCAAACTTGTTTGGCAACTACTTTCTCAAGAATTTTGGATAAGAAAGGAAGATTGGATATACACTATATTGCCAAAAGTATTTGCTCACCCATCCAAATTATTGGAATCAGGTGTTCCAATCACTTCCATGGCCACAGGTGTATAAATTCAAGCACCTAGGCATGCAGACTGTTTTTACAAACATTTGTGAAAGAATGGGTCGCTCTCAGGAGCTCAGTGAATTCCAGCGTGGAACTGTGATAGGATGCCACCTGTGCAACAAATCCAGTCGTGAAATTTCCTCGCTCCTAAATATTCCACAGTCAACTGTCAGCTGTATTATAAGAAAATGGAAGTGTTTGGGAACGACAGCAACTCAGCCACGAAGTGGTAGGCCACGTAAACTGACGGAGCGGGGTCAGCGGATGCTGACGCGCATAGTGCGAAGAGGTCGCCAACTTTCTGCAGAGTCAATCACTACAGACCTCCAAACTTCATGTGGCCTTCAGATTAGCTCAAGAACAGTGCGCAGAGAGCTTCATGGAATGGGTTTCCATGGTCGAGCAGCTGCATCCAAGCCATACATCACCAAGTGCAATGCAAAGCGTCGGATGCGGTGGTGTAAAGCACGCCGCCACTGGACTCTAGAGCAGTGGAGACGCGTTCTCTGGAGTGACGAATCGCGCTTCTCCATCTGGCAATCTGATGGACGGGTCTGGGTTTGGCGGTTGCCAGGAGAACGGTACTTGTCTGACTGCATTGTGCCAAGTGTAAAGTTTGGTGGAGGGGGGATTATGGTGTGAGGTTGTTTTTCAGGAGCTGGGCTTGGCCCCTTAGTTCCAGTGAAAGGAACTCTGAATGCTTCAGCATACCAAGACATTTTGGACAATTCCATGCTCCCAACTTTGTGGGAACAGTTTGGAGCTGGCCCCTTCCTCTTCCAACATGACTGTGCACCAGTGCACAAAGCAAGGTCCATAAAGACATGGATGACAGAGTCTGGTGTGGATGAACTTGACTGGCCTGCACAGAGTCCTGACCTCAACCCGATAGAACACCTTTGGGATGAATTAGAGCGGAGACTGAGAGCCAGGCCTTCTCGTCCAACATCAGTGTGCGACCTCACAAATGCGCTTCTGGAAGAATGGTCAAAAATTCCCATAAACACACTCCTAAACCTTGTGGACAGCCTTCCCAGAAGAGTTGAAGCTGTTCTAGCTGCAAAGGGTGGACCGACGTCATATTGAACCCTATGGATTAGGAACGGGATGTCACTTAAGCTCATATGTGAGTCAAGGCAGGTGAGCAAATACTTTTGGCAATATAGTGTAGGTCTATAATTGACCAAGTCATCTGGGTCAAGAGACGGTTTCTTAAGCAGAGGTTTAATTACAGCAATCTTAAAAGCTTTAGGTACATATCCCTGTAACAGAGATAGATTAATCACATCTAAAATGGAGGAGGAGATCAAAGGGAATACCTCCTTAAATAACCTGGTTGGAACTGGATCTAACATACAAGTTGAAGGCTTAGATGAAGACAATAATTTTGCTAATTCAGAGAGTTCAACTGGATCAAAGCAGTCTAAACCCGGTTCAGATTCCATGACTACCTCAGGTACAATCGCGGATAGAGGAGTGCTTATGATCTTATTTTTAATAAGATCAATCTTATTTATAAAGAATCCCATAAAATCATTGCTGCTAAGAGCAGGTGGAATGGACGGTTCAACAGAGCTATGGCTCTGGGTGAATTTGGCAACTGTATTAAAAAGAAATCTAGGATTATTCTTATTCTCCTCTATTAATGAGGAGAAGTATGCTGCTCTTGCTTTACAAAGGGTCCTCTTATACAGCAGTAAACCATTTTTCCAGACTAGGAAGGACTCTCGCAGGCCTGTGGAGCGATATTTTCTCTCCAGTTTCCTAGCATTTTGCTTCAAAGTACGCAGCTCTGCATTAAACCAAGGAGCAAGCTTTCTATTTTTAACGGTTTTCATATTCAAAGGAGCTGCATTGTCTAAGGCAATACGCAGAGAACTAGCAACCCCCTCAACAAAATCATCAACCTGTGAAGGGGAATAAGCTAAGCTTTTGCACTCTGCAGCACTGCTCAGTGACACAGAGCAGAGTGAAGCAGATTCTTTAAAATTTATAACTGCACTATCTGATAAAGATCTACTAAAATTGAACCTTCTTTTGGGGGAGGAGAACTCTGTTAAAGTAATCCTGAAGGTTATTAGAAAGTGGTCAGAGAGGACAGGGTTGTGAGGAAATACTGTTATTTCTTCACATTCTATGCCGTATGTCAGCACAAGATCCAAAGTATGAAGATGAGAATGCGTGGGACTATTCACATTTTGAACAAAGCCAATAGTGTCTAAGATAGCATTAAAGGCTGCTCTTAAGCTATCGCCTTCAATGTCAGCATGGATGTTAAAATCTCCCACTATGATGACCCTGTCAGTATTTAATACCAAATCAGAAAGGAACTCTGAAAACTCATCTAAAAATTCAGAGTAAGGACCTGGTGGACGATACAAAGTTACAAAAAGAAGAGGTTTTCTTGCCTTGAAATTTGGATCAGGGAAATTAAGGGTTAAATGTTCAAAAGAGTTGTAGGAATTAATTGTTTTGGGAGTAATCAGTAAGTCAGACTCGAAGATTGTTGCTACTCCTCCTCCTCGCCCAGAACTTCTGGGGATGTGAAAATTTAAATAGCTTGAAGGAGTTGCCTCATTTATGCTCACATAATCCTCTTGCTGCAGCCAAGTTTCTGTAAGGCAAAACAAGTCAATGTGATTATCACAAATCAAGTCATTAACTAGTAGACTTTTAGAGGAAAGCGATCTTATGTTAAACAGACCGCATTTAATTGTTTTAACTTTTTCCCCAATTGGAGTTATTTTGATTTTAATTAGATTATCATGATTTACTCCTTTGGGAATCTTTGCTAATTTATTAGATTTTGGTCGTGGGCAAGACACTGTCTGGATGGAGTAAAGAGTGGGTAACAGTAGAGAAGCTGCAGAGATGTGTGTTAAACTACAACTCTGCTTCCTGGTCTGCACCCTGGGTGGTCAGGGTTTTGGAGGACTAATAAATGTGGCCAGATTCCTAGAAAGAAGAGCTGCACCATCCAAAGTGGGATGGATGCCGTCTCTCCGAATCAGACCAGGCTTTCCCCAAAAGGATTGCCAATTATTAATGTAGCCCACGTTGTTTTCAGGGCACCACCTAGACAACCAGCGATTGAATGACGACATGCGGCTAAACATGTCATCACTGGTCAGATCAGGGAGGGGACCAGAGAAAATTACGGAGTCCGACATTTTTTTGGCAAACTTACACACCGAAGCAACACTAATTTTAGTGACCTCCGATCGGCGTAACCGGGTGTCATTACCACCAGCGTGAATAACAATCTTACTGTATTTAACCTTATCCTTAGCCAGTAGTTTCAGGTAGGATTTGATGTCGCCCGTTCTGGCCCCCGGCAAACATTTGACTATGGTCCCTGGTGTCTCTAATGCCACGTTTCTGACTATGGAGCTGCCAATCACCAGAGTGGGCTTCTCAGTGGGTGTGTCACTGAGTGGGGAAAACCGGTTAGAAACGTGAACGGGCTGGTGGTGACCAGTGGGCAGAGATCCACGACTACGCTTTCTGCGTACAGTTACCCAATCGCCTGGCTGCTCAGGCACTTTTGGAGGACAGCTACGTGGGGGGCCTACTTCAACAGCCTGAAGCCTGGATTCTAACTCTGACACCCTCGCCTCCAAAGCTACAAAAATACTACACTTATTACACATCCCATTATCACTAAAGGAGGCAGAGGAATAACTGAACATCTGACACAGAGAGCAGGAGAGAGGAGAGGAAGAAGGAAGAGTTGGAAAAGAGTCAAGGGAGGGAGAGAGAGAAGCCATAGCAATGCTAAGCTAGCGCTAGCCTAGGCTAGCTACTTCTTGCTATCAGAAATAAAACCGTGTGAAACTGACAAGTGCTCAGTAGAAAAGTGCAGCAGAAGGTGCTATGTTTTAAAGTAGTCAGTTAGAGTTACTTAGCTACAGAGATATCACAGAGAAAATAACTTAACTTCAGATGGAGATCCTCTGAACAGCTGCACACTCAGTTGCACACTCAGTTAATCCAAACAGGAAGTGACTTCCACAACAAATGTCATTTCAAGGCACTTTACAATTCAACTAGATCATACAGTCAAATTGATTCAAAGTTTTCTATCTAAGGAAAACCAGCTAATTGCATCGACTCATTGATTCAAAGGCAATCCCTCACACTAAGCATGCTTGTAGTGACAGTGGAGAGGTAAACTCCCTTTTAACGGGAAAAAAACCTCCAGCAGAACCAGACTCAGTGTGAGCGGCCATATGCAGAGGCTAAATGGGGTTCAAGGAGACAGAAGCAGACATACAGAAATAAGCAGAGATACAAAAGGAACTAGTCAACCAGCTCCACAGGCGGCCCCATCCAGGGAAGACACAGCCAGGCAGACGAGCTCCGAGCCAGCTCCATTGTCAGAGGATCAAAGAGAGCACGTCCAGTTAGTCAGTGTCAGAGAAACAGGACTACACTGAAAAAAAGGCCAAGCTCCAACATCTATAAACAAAGGCGTTAATGGCAGCAAGACAGCTGATATTTCTCACAGCCAAACAGGAACAGAACAGATGAAGCTACTGTGATGAAAAAAAGCAGAGAGAGCATAATGTTAGTGGTTTAACTAACAAATTTTGCAGAGTGGGAGAATAGAGAGAGAATGAAGCAGAATGATGAAAAAGGGTCCCTATGTCCTCCAGCAGTCAATAGCAAGGCTAAGAACTGAGAACACATAATTCAATGCAGACAGATCAGTGTGATTCACAGAAATTCAGCAACAAAGGCGTCAAAGGCCGCAATCTATGTAGAGGGAAAACTCAGGTCAGTGACGGAGGGCGATTGCAAGTGTGTGAGTCACTAACCTGATTTTAGAGTTTCAAGGGTCCAAATGTAGAACTGGTCAGGATCAGGCAATCAAAACAACAACAGGGGTGCTAATGAACTTTCACCAAAGGCTTGAATAATCTGGCACTGATAACTGGGAGCAAGCAGGTTAAAAAAAGACTAGAACAGGTGGATAAGATAAGCAGTGATGGGCGGAGCTAGGCAGGTGATTGAAATGAACTAATAAACGAAGATCCTGATAGTGTAAGCCTATAGCAGCATAACTATGGAGATAGCTGAAGATAACCTGTGCCACTCTAACTATAAGCTTTACCAAAAAGGAAAGTTTTAAGCCTACCCTTAAAAGTAGACAGGATGTCACAGGAGAGGAGCCTGATAACTAAAAGATCTGCCTCCCATTCTACTTTTAGATATTCTAGGAACCATTAGTAAACCTACAAATTTAGAGTGCTCTGTTAGGAACACAATGGAAACAATCATATCTCTGATATAAGATGGAACATGGCCAGTTAAGGCTTTATATGTGAGAAGGAGGATTTTAAATTCTATTCTAAAGTTGGATATTATTGGCATTAGTTAAGGATTTATTTACTGCAGCTAGTCATGGTGGGTAAGAAATGTAGGCTGAGCTCAGATACAAGTCACAGAAACATTAACTTGCTGTGAGTTATGACGATGTTGCTATAGCTTGCATGCTATGGAGCTTTCCCTACTTTTCTACATCTGTTACAACTTTTTTTTTTTTAACCTGCGATGGCTACGTTTAAATTCTCTTTGAGGTTGCTGACCTCAGCAGGGTTTTCTACAAAGTGTTAAAAAATTGAACAAAGCTGTTCCTGAGAATGTAATACTATTTTTACTGTTGCCCAGATCAGTAAACATATATAAGAACATTCAGATTCATATACTAACAGGAGCCTAATTAAGATTTTGCATCTCAGTGTGTCTTGATTACATCTCATTGACATTAATTTTGGTTTCCTGCCTCTCTACAGGTGTGCCGGTTTTTTTCATACTTATGTGGATTGGTTCCAGGGTGTACTTTGAGGACACAGAGTTTGTATAACATTTTAGAACTTTTGCATTCAACAATAAAATTCATTTGTATTATTTGGTTTAGACACTTGACTTAACACAGTTTGTTAGTTTTTCTTAAGCTCAGCTTACATGATGCAGAAAGTTAAACTCAGAATGACTGAGATACACCTTTTCAAATGTCTTTCTCTACAGATGTTGGGACAACACCAAGGAGTCACCATATTGGTGGATTATTAAGGGACCAATTCTTGTCTCCATAGTGGTAAATGTTTCCATTATGCAAAAGAATAAAACAAAATGTAGCTGTGAAACAGATTTTTCCATTAGAACAGTGTCAAGCTCCCATGTTATTTACAATATTTTGTTTTGTTTTTTTTCAGTATCTGTGTTACCAATGTAGCGGGTTTGTATTTGACTGTTCAGCATCATAGGGAGTGTGAAGTAAGTGATGCGTGAGGGAAACAGAGTGGGAAGCTTGTCCAGGACTCAATTCACACACTTCTTGGTGAAAATAATTTTTTCTAACCTTCGTTTTAGAGAAATTTCAGGGAAAATGTTTCAGGAAAAGAAAGTCTTTGCATTATTGAAGCAGCATACAAAATCTCTCCAACACCAGTCCAAGTCAATTACACAGTTGGCTGATCGCTGCTTGCCTCGGTATTTAATAATCATGTTGGTATGAATGTTTTCTATTTCATGCTTTTGAGAACATACATAAAGAGAAATGGTTTTGTTTGCTATCAACAGGTCAATTTTGTGCTGTTCGTAAACATCATCAGAATCATCATACAGAAGCTCAATCCTCGGCTGATTCAGTTCAATAACTCCTCTCAGTACAGGTAAAGTAATGCAAGGACGGTGAAGTAAAGCTGTGATTAACACTTTCAGATCTGGTATGGCGATTATATGTGTATTTTAAACCCAGGGATCATTTAAAGCTCTGGGAAATATTTCAACAAAACAAAGAAATAACCTTGAGGTCTGAGTTTTTGTTTTGTTTTTTTATTAAATTTAGATCCATCTCTCTCAAACAAACTCTCCGTCTTTCAAACTCTTGCCTCTGTGACTTATTTGTGGTAAACTCTTGCACTTTGTCAGAGTAAAGATTTATAGTTCTTCAAATACTTTTTAGAGAGAATGTTGAAAGATGCTGTTTTTGCGAAAGCTGTTGATAAATCCACAGTGTGTACTGAATAATGCATGTACCTTTCATGCTGAGCAACAATCTACTTCAGTCTGACCACGTCTACATTTCCTCTTACCTAGAACCTTAACAGAATTTCTAATTGAAATAGTCTCACTTAATAGAGTGAGAGTGCTCCGGCACATCATGTATTCTGGACCTCATGGAAGACGTATTAAGGCATGTCAGAAGATGCTCGACTTAACTGCATCAGCTACAGTCTATACCTGTGACACAAACACATTCACAAACAGAGGAATCCTCACACCTGACATCCCATTATCCATTTGCCAGCTTGCATTAGGCTATCAGCAGCATTCAGATAAGACAGCTGCTGTCTCCCACAGGAAGTTTCACCTCTGGTATCCGGATTTGATTTCCTTTTTTTGCAACAGGCGCCTGGCAAGGTCCACCCTCCTCCTCATCCCTCTGTTTGGAACCCACTACATGTTCTTCAGTTTTCTGCCTGACTACTTAAACAGCCTGCGCTTCTATATCGAGCTCTGCCTGGGATCCTTTCAGGTGCAAATGTGAACTTATCACCCTAAGCGGATTGATTTATCTTAAAATTCCTGTTTCCTACCAGTGTGTTGCCTCTTATTCTCACCATACTTATTTTGTTCCCTTTTTATTTCCCAGACAACACTTGGATGTGGGGCATAGCTGTTAAATGGTTGAAAAATGTGACTCCAGATTGTTAAATACTCTTATTTGTGTGATATAGGTCATCTTTTGGCCTAACGATGGACCCATATGGGTCATAACCAAATATACATCTTGCAAACCCACATTTAAGTTTTTCATTGGTTCTTCACTACATAGGGACTTCATGTAGTGACTTCATGTCTTACCATGTGCAAGTACATAAAAATTATATTTTGAAAAGGACTAATTGATTCTGTCTCTGATTTATAGAGAATAAAACTAATAAATTAGATAGATACCACACACATAGAATTAATTTGTATTTTAAGCCTTTATGGTTGATGAATATGACCCAAAGTAAAAAAAAAAAAAGATCACATTTCAAATCTTGCTAAATAATTAAATAAGCAGGAAGCACTACATTGTAGTAACTGAATGTAGAGCAAAGTGCTTTTTCTTAAACTTGATAAAGCACTATATAAATACAGGATTTTTATATTTATTTATTTAACTACAAATCACCTTCTCTCAGCTCCTCAGTTCAGGTTCCAACTCTGCTGAGGTGAATTTCATCTATCTGTTTTACCACGGTCAAGATCACTAATCACCTCCCCAGCAGTGATAAGTCAGTCCGTTTTCAACACATCTTATCACATCCTTCTGTTTTCTATCTTCGTTGTCTTTCCTCCTTATTCCAATAACTCATCACCCCTTAATGTGAGCCCTCCCTTCTTACTATCTGCTCTTGGTTTCACTTACAGGTCTTCTGTTAGATCTTAGGGGATGTTTTCTAGTCTGATACAGTTTATGTGCTGTATATTTGATTTTGTTATTCCTATTTTTTAAATGCATAGTATTGTGTCATGGAGACTAAAGAGGGAATTCCTTTGTAGAATGTTTGGGTATCAAAACCTTACGACAATTTAAACGTTTTGCACACCTGTGTGGGATCTCTTTCTTTAAAAGGATAGTGTCCATAATGGTGGCTGTGCTTTGTAAGGAAATGAGGCTAGGTGCAGCAAATGTTGCCATCATCTAGAAAAGCAATCTCACTAAAGACATGGGAATGTAATTTTTAATTATACGACTCATCTCTTTTACAGGGGCTCCTTGTTGCAGTCCTCTATTGCTTTCTCAATCAAGAGGTCAGTACAAACCACTCTACACAGTCACATATTAGCTTTGAATAACTCCCTGAAGATTTATAGATCTCTGCTGCATAAGAAATCTGTTTAGCAATATTGAAGACCTGAGAGGGGTGCAGAGTAAAAAGCTGCAGAGTCTTAAAGTGCAAAAACAATTGGCCTCTTCTTTCTGCCTTGTTACGTAAGTGAAGGCCTGAGAGGTTTGAATAATTATGATAATTAATGCAGCGCCAATCTCCCATCACTCTCAGAGCATCACCTGTCTGTCTTTATCTGTCCATGTAAATTAATTTAAGGTCCAAGTCATTCTTTAGCAGGACCTTGGGGATGATACATCAGACTGAATATTGACTTGGATTATTTCTTTCGATTTAGACATCGCCTGACTGGTAAAGCCATAATTTAAAGTTAAGTTTTGCTTTAGGAAATTATTATTTTTTCTAGATTGCAAATAGAATTCATTTTCATGTTCATAGTTGATAAATATGGTTAAAAAAAAGCAAAAGTAAAAGAAGTGAAAATGCATATCTCAACCAGGGAAGCCACAATTAGTTGCAAAATCTGTGCATTTAAATCATGAAGTCATGATTGACATAGATTTATCCAAAGAAAGCAAAAGATGGGGGAATTTTTTTCTGAGAAGGAAAGATGAAGACATAATGGACCAACTTCAGCATTCACCAGCCCTGAATAAGTGAGTGTGAAAAAATGTTAAAGTGTGAAAGCCACAACTAATAGGCATATTCTGATAGATGTTCTCATTTCTGTTTCACTTCTTACCAGTAATGTTACTTCAGGGTGCTTTGTTGTCTTTTTTAACATTCTTCTTAAATTACATAGAATCAGCAATCTGTGAGCAGATAACAATGAAAAAATAATCTTTACAGGCGTGGAAAATTTTAGAGCAGTGAATAGAAGTAGACTACTGCTTCCATGTTTTGTTTTTTCACTCATATAGTTCATTTTAATTGTGAGAGTTTAATTGTTACATTGGTCTAGCTGTCAAAATAGGATTCCCAGAACCTCTATGACACAAATTAAACCAGTGAGTTTGTCCACAGTTAGTTTTTCTACAGGATTTATTTTTATTTTAAAAGTTATTTAACATCTTAAAGACAAGATTCAGTAAAATAATACATGTTTTTGTTTATGCAGTTCAGACAATGGATGCTGCAGCAGCTAAATGTGCATAGCACCTTTGTAGAGTGTTGTCTTTAACTTAGTTTAATACCATTACATCTGCAGGACTTTTTTTTTGTACAGGATGCATTAAAGATGAAAACCACAGTAAAAAGGCACATTTTCTTACCCCTTATTTTTTCTGCAAAACTGTTTATAGTCATTGGTAATTTATTGTCCCTGCATTCCCTAATGGGAAGTTATTTTACATGACTTCCACAGATGAAAAAAACTAGACAACACTGATGTATACCTACACTGTCCTAGGAGGAAAGCAGAAACAGAAAATTACAAAAAAAATCTTAAAGAAAAGAATTGTTTATTTCATCTTTTTTTTCTCTTCTTTTTTTTAAAGTCATTTCTTTATTGATGTTTCCTCTGCTGATAAACTGTTTACAGCCCTTTGCTCTCCACACTGTTTCTTCTGTGCCGCTTAGTTGTCATTTCATGACATCGATCTCCTGTCAATGTCCTGTTGTCATCTCAGTCACTTATCACTATAAAAAGACAAATTCCTGTTTGGAACTTTTTGTCAGGTAAAAAAAAATTTTCTGTTTGTACCAACTGGCAATATATGGTAGTGTTTTTTAATTGTTATTATTTAAAGAAGGAAACTTTAAATGCTGTTCTTGTAATAAAGTCGTAATGTTGCTTATACGTTGACTGATTGGGATTTGTTTCTTATTATCAAGGTTTTTCCTTTTTATTGATTCTTTACTTTTGGCCTTGTAAATGTTAAATTAGATCAATGAATGTCTTGGCCTTATTTATGCCTGCCATGTATGTTTATTGTTGTTTATTGTCATTTTATAGGTGCAGAAAGAGGTCAGCATGCAGTGGCTGAGGTGGCAGGAGAGGAGCTATGGGGTGGTGTCACCCGCTGCAAAGGGGAGCCAGATGGACACACCTTTCTGAGATCTTTGTAGCAACACAACAGATTGTTCACACTGGACTGTTTTCTGTGCACATACAATATCTAAAGAGCTGTACTGCATGCACAGTGATGCCCCACTGTAAGCTTGTCCAGATAGACTGTGGTACTCATTGCCATTTTTCAACAAGAACCTGGAGAATCTGAAATTCATCTCAACACACATTGTCATCTTAGACAATAGAAGTGGACTGTTCTTGCTTACAAGAGGGCAGAACTTGTGCCTTCTAGACATCACTCATTAGATTAGTGATCCGTTATTATAATTTCACCATGCTGGAAAAATCAGCCTGATGATTATAGATCTTTAAAACGCATTTATGATGTTTATATTAATCAAAAACCATGTTTTCTCATTTACATTTTATTATAAACACCATATGAATGATCAAGCACGATTTATTACATTGGAATTTATCACTAAATCTGTATGGAGTGATTTGTTTTTTTCCGTTATTGTTGCAGGCAGAATACATTTTGTAAAAGCAAATTTGAAAAGAAATACAACACATTTGTTCATCTGAAATAATACTAAAAAAAAAAAAAATCCTTGGATAAACTTTTTTCATTAGAAACAGGTTTTGAAAGTAACTTAGCTGTTTTCATAGTTTTTTTTAGTTTAGTCTTTTCCATTGTAATTTCTTTTTCAAATTTAAATGTTTGTACTTTCTTTCTTTCTATAAGATGTTATATTTTCAATTGTATTTTTTTATTTTTTAAATATATTTTTTACATTTGTTTCTCTGATTGAATATTAAAAAATTAATTCTTTTCAAAATGCATTTGAACAGATCACATTCTCTTCCCTTCCAGCCCAATACAAATTCTCGCTCTTGATGCTCAACGCATTGTTATTCATAACATCCATGCAGACCAATAGAAATGCATCTTCATCTTTGGGATCTGTAAAAGGCAATTTGAATGCTGTTTTTAAAGTTTCATTTTTTTCAAATTTCTATTTATAAAAGATGTTCTTTGCTTGCAAGGGTAATAGAAGAAACTTCACTCTATAAATATGTGACCTGTTTTAAATTTAGTGGCGGTTTTTGATATTTGCCTTATGGGTAGTCACCTAGGTTAGCACTAAAAGGGTTGCATCTGTACTACAGTTAGGCTAAAAACTTGCACCCCTAGCAAGTTTATTGTTTTGATGCTCATGCTCCTTGCTATCTCTTAGTCAGACTGAGCCCATGTGGACTGAAGCACAGGTTAGACTGAGACCTCTCCTGTTTTCTTTAACTGGAGTGTCTGGAAAATATGGGGGTCAAAAGTACAGATACATGTGTGAAAAAAGGCTGATCAAATTAAAAGTACTGACTGAACTGCTTTACTTAAGTGAAAGTACCAACATAAATTAAGTTTTTTCCTTAAATGATACCAAATAACTTTTAAAAACTCTATTATAAAGCAGTTCTAAGCAGAATATCATTAAATGTTCCTTTATTGCTTACTGTGTTGGAGCAAATGAGTGTCGGTAATTCTGCGTGAGCAGAGGGATGTTTTCTGAGCTCTGTTATTCACAGCATTAAAGTTGCAAATTGGATTAACTTTTAAATATATCTTAAAAAATAATCAACGTATAAATATAAAATCTAAAAAAGGGGAATGGATGACAAATGTCTTGCGTCTCAGAATCTGATCCATCTTCTTCTGTTTCTCAGCTTCTTGTTTTCATCCATGTTGCTATCAGTGCTTTTCTAAAAGCAAACTCTGTTCCAACTGGACAGATGCTCTTTGCGCTCTCATTGATATGTTCTTATCAATATGTAAAGAAGCAACAAGCTAGGTTCTTGAAAGGTAAAAGAAGAAGGTACATATATTTGTGTTCAATTTTAGCAAATACAAGTCAAAAGTGCTCAAAAAACAAATCCTCAAGTAAAATACAGATACAATAAAAGGCTACTTAAGAACAGTATTTATACTTAGTCACTTGACACCTCTGATCTCTGCATGGAGTTTCCATGTTCTCTTTGTGCATGCTTGGGTTCTCGCTGGGTACTCCAGCTTCCCCAACAATCCAAAATCATGACTTCTATGGTACTCCGCCTTTTGTCCAAAGACTGCAGGAGATGGGCACCAGTCTGCCATGACCCTGTTAGACAAGAAGGTGTAGAAGATGGATGTTTATATTATAAAAGGTTTGGGTTGTAGAAAGAGTAAAAATCGCCAACTGAGAAAAAGGTTTTGTTCTTTCTTCATTCTTTTAATTTTTGTATTAGGATATCAGTTTCCATTTGATGCTTAGTCTGAGGTGTGATTACGGTTCCTTATTATCTTTTGAATTATTCATTTATTTGTATTAGTCTCAGTTTCTGCAGCTAAAAGCTTTTTCAGTACTGTGTTTCCTCTTGTAAAGAACCATCATTTCTAAATGTATAATAGAATAAATATAAATAATAATCAATATAAACTGGACATTGCATAGTTCGAACAAAGCCCTTGTAAAATGTTCACCTGCATAAATGCCACATATTGGCCCTTCAGGTCTGCACTTTTCATGATCTTTGTGTCACAGTGAAGATCATTGCAATGTGAGAGCATTTCTATTGCCTTAAAACGAATGTAAAGTCTGTCATAGTTAGTGTCAGTTGTTATTAGGTTACTATAATAGATCTTGATGTTGCAGCTTTGTCTTGTCAAATGTCTGTGGTATTTGCTGCAAGTTCAACTGTAGACTTTTGTCCTCAGTAACCTCTTTTATGAAAAGAAGATTAGATTCAGCTGGCAGCTAGAAATGTTGAAACACTGAAATATTTGTCTTTGCTGTTGGGATTAAGCTACTAATGTATTTAATTTATTAATGTTCCAGTTTAAAATATTATCGCAAAAATAGTGTTTTAAAATGTCTTGTTTTTATCACATGAACAAACTCAATAAATCAGCTTTTCAAACCACATTTTCTGTTCTTTTTTTTTAAGAGCTCTATTAATTAAATCAATTATATCTGGCACAAATCTCATTTAAAATGATAACATTTCAATGTGCTATTAAGACCTATTTTCAGCTATGAAGGGTCATTGGTGGTTTATTTTTCAAGCAAAACAGTAAATAGCTGTGCAAGTTGATGTACATGCTCTCTAATCTGAGCAGGTGCAACATTTTATCTCCTAATGCATAACATACACTCATATTTGGCTTGATGCCCATTAGCTCTTTGAGAGAGACACCCTGCAACCACTTGAGCCCGATGGTGCCGGGCCCATCTGACACCTGCTCATGTTTATCTATTTATAGAAATGGCCAAAACACAGTCACATGGTGTTTCATCCACACGCTTTTCAAAATGGGGCTTTAAAATTTCTAAAACATGTTTCAAATGACTTTTTCACAAATACGTTTTGTTTTATACCTGTGTAAACAAATAAAATGAGATTTAAAATTCCACCTGACATGTCTGACTCTACGGTAGTTATGCAACAGCAGGTATTCTCTTTTGGGCACACTCCATAATGGCCGGCATTGTTGGAAACTAGAGGCTCAGACCTTTCCAAGGAGTGATCGGAGATAATTGTGCAACCACTTCAGGGGATATTTTCTATTCAGATTGGTGATATTATTGTGTTTCAATGGTCAATTTCAATGAAACAGCGACTAAATATTAGGAGCAAAGGCTTTGCCTTATGCAGAAGGTCTACAATAATTAAAATCAGCTATTTGTGTTGCAAGATTCCCTTTTATGAGTGGAAAAAGCATTTGGCACAATTTGTGCCAAAATCATATTTCCGCCCAGCGCCCTGCCCACTAAAACCTTTATGGAACAAACATACTTCAACTTATTCAGTCTTGAGTTATAGTCAAGATGTGGATATATAAAGTCTTAGGGTTCAGCCAGAGTTTTAAATAGGTTTTCAAGGTGTTTTGCAGTGTTTATTTTGGCGAGGCTACATTTTTTTTCCCTTTTTTCTTTGTTTGATTACCTATAAATCAGACATGGTGACACTAAAAAATAATGGTTCTACCTGAAAAATATTTCTCAATGCCTTTCTGTCATTCAAATACAAACAATTGAATTTCAAATTTATAGTTTGGGAGCTGTACTTGGTTTACTATACATATGTAATTTTGGCCAGAATTTGCTCCTAAGACTAGGGTTGGGAATTGATAAGATTTTCACGTTTCTGATTCCCTTATCGAATCTGTGAAACGATTCGATTCCTTATCGATTCTCTTATTGATTCAGTGAAACAATGAACAGTGACATTTGTCTACCTTCACCTGGGGCATTCTATTTTTGCCTGCCTCTGCAAAAACAGAAGGCAGTGAACATGCTGGTTGTAACTTTAGCTTCTAAACGGAAGCATCAAAAACACGGCATTCATTCAACTGTATGCCATGTTATGTGCCCAGGTGTTTCTGCATGTTGGATGTATTTCCTTAACCCGACAACAGCCAGATGCATGTCTAGCATGCATCTGGCTGTTGTCAGGTTAGTATTTCCTCCCACGGATGTTATTGCCACTTTGCAATGATTGCATAGCGCATGGTTGCCATCTTTCTCTTCCTTAAAATGATGTCAAACTCTCGATCGCTTTGACCGCTTTTGTTTTGCTTTTCTAGACTAACGCCTGGTCACGTCGTACTAGTAACTGAATGCCGTGTCCGTAACTTGCGTAAAAAACGTGACGTAAGTCTTGCTGCCCAGCGCTAGGCTCAGGTGCTGCCTGGAATCGATAGGCGAACCGTTAAGCGAGCTGCCAAACGGTGCCATGAAATTGGAACACACAGAACCGGTTCTGAACAGGAACCAGTTTTCGATTCCCATCCCTGCCTACGTAAGACCCTCTAGGCTTAAGCAATCACAAGTAATCTTCTGGCAGAGTTTAGACTGGATCATTATATTTTCAGAAATGGTAAAGACAATCACAGTTGTTGTTGGGATTGGTTTCCTGGCATTTTTTTATTAATGTTTTTCAGAAACTTAATGTTTGCCTCTTTTTTCCATTGGAGCATCCCAATGTATGCAGGTTTCAACTCTCAAGGTGCTTGTTTGAGGTGAAGTTAGAATATTTTAGACTTCATTTTCTCACTGACTTTGTCCATCGCATTTGTTCATCTGGCTCTAAACTATACCCTCAGCATGATGGTACCACCACTATGCTTGACAGCTGATTTAGTGCTCTGTTGGTATGATTTTCATCAATGTTAGCAGCTGGAAATTCAGGTTAGTTTGCAAGTGAAGATTTAGCAGTAGGAACTGTTTTCATGCTATCAGCATGTCAATGTTAAGCTTAGGTATTTGGTTCATGCTCCCCAACTGGCACTTTTTGGCAGCACTAAAGGTATATTATATATACCTTTAGTGCCGTTTAGTATATATATATATATATATATATATATATATATATATATATATATATATATATATATATATATATATATATATATATATATATATATATATATATATATATATATATATAGAAAATGGCCTACCCCTCTTTGAGTTTAGGGCTGACTTTCGGACACAGCCAGAGTTCTCTCATTTTTCACAGTTTACTTCTTATTCACTTCTTCAATAAATCAAAATTTGGAGCCCCCTTGCCCCAGTATGGAAAGCATCACCATATATCAGGTAGCTTATGGGCAGTGATACTGATAGAATTATGACTAAACTAAAAGGGAGTGTCACATTTCTGAAATCTTTATTATTCTGTAGAACACAACTTTGGATGAAAAAATATTTTTTTTAAACGCAAAAGAAAATTGTTCATGATTGCACTGAATCAATCCACATAGAGACTTGTTCAATTATCCCATAAATATTTGGTTGTAATCTTTTTATTTTTGAAAACTAGTTAATACATACAGTTTTTTCTGACTAGAGCAGAGAATGTGTGAAGGGAGCCATTATGGTTGGCCTAAGTGAAGCTGATCACCAAATAGAATAGCATGCCAAAACATCTGTATACCAATAATACAGGGGTTTATTGTTTTAAATGTTCCTCTGATCAAATGGAGAGACTGATGGTGCTTTCAATCAAATTTAAATTAAAACAGACAACTTATTACTTTTTTTGTGTGGTTTTTGTTTACACATTTAACATTGCTTCATTTGAGAGATTCTTCCACAGTGCCAAACAAATATTTGCCTAAAACACGAATAATGCTATTATGGTAGAGGATGAGAGCCACTGAAAAAATAAAAAAACAGTTAACTGATTTTTAAATTTTATTTTAGTTTAATATGGGAAAAAAGTCAGAATTCTAAGATTAAAGTCAGAATTCTGACTCTTTTCTCAGAATTCTGAGATAAGAGTCAGAATTCTGAGAAAAGAGTCAGAATTCTGACTTTAATCTCAGAATTCTGACTTTTTTCTCAGAATTCGGACTAACAAGCATGGCTTAGAATTCTGACTGAATTCTGACAATAAAAAAAGTCAGAATTCTGAGATTAAAGTCAGAATTCTGACTCTTTTCTCAGAATTCTGAGATGAGAAAAAGTCAGAATTCTGAGAAGAAATTCAGAATTCTGAGATTTAAGTCAGAATTCTGAGAAAAGGTCAGAATTCTGAGATTAAGTCGGAAGTCTGACTTTTTTCCCATATTAAACTGAAATAATATTCAAAAATCTGTTCATTTTTTTTTTTTTTTTATTGTCAGTGGCCCTAATCCCCTATGCTGTTAATACTAGAAGCGGAGCAGTAGCTTGTCGCTTCTTCTAGGCAGTGGGAAGTGCGGAGCTCCAACACAGGATGTAGAGTCACAGCTGGGTTGAACAACCTCCCCCCTTTCTGGTGTGCAGGGTTCCCCCATATGCAGGGATCAAAGTGCGGATCGCGCATTTTCAGCCACCGAAACTCTCCCGTCTGGCTCCGCTGATCCATGAAACACAAACCGACTCTTTACGCGCGGAAAAATATATAAAACGAGTATGAAGGTGAGTTGGTTAAAGAGCTCTGCATCGCATCAACATCAACAGAAAACAATCATTCCCAAGTTGTGTGTTTAGGAGGTGTTTGTTGTTTAGCTTTTCACTTAATCTGTGAAGGGGAAATAATTTAACTACCACGAATTTAAAAGAACCTCACCCTAATCAAAGGTAAAAGCATAATGAATTCATCCTATTTTATAAAATAGTTTCTAATATAAATAAAAACCATCTAGATGCTGCATAAATGTACATACAGAAATAAAAAACTAAAAATAACCAGCTTTTTACAACTTTTCAAGTGGCTGTACCCAACCTGCATCGTTTGTCATTTATTATAAAGGATGGAGATTGTTGTTTTTAAAGTAATCCCCTTAAACTCGTTTATATTTCCAGCAGAGAGTTACACCTTTTTCTGATTTAAGTATGTACTTTATGTCTGCATGTATTGTTGTTCTTCTGTTTCACTGATTCATCAAGCAGTTTGTTTAACTTTAGTTGTTTTTAATGGGATAGAGTCACAGAGCCTGCAGTGATCTCTACTGTGAAGCAACATTTGTCACTAATTCAGTTAGTAATGAAGCTTTTGGTTCAAATGTTCTAAGTATGTAAACTACTAGCGAGTTTAATTTTACGCTGCAGACAGCCAGGAAGGGGCTGGCGTTAATGACAGGGTGCTTTTCTCCCCACATGAAGCTTTTCATGTCTAAACATGCACTGGATTGACTCTGTGCTGCACAATATCGCTGTTGTCTAACTTAACCTCTCAGTGACTTCATGCTGTAATAAATGCTCTGATTTGCTGATGTGGTTTCAGGGAATGACCCACCTCTGGACCCTCATGCCTGCATTACTGCTGATGCTTTCGCTAGTCACCGAAAGGCTGAGCAGCCATCCAGGAAATGGCAATGAAGTCCTCAAAGAGATGGAGACCGAATTCAACAGAAGCCGGGTCAGTAGTTTCTTGGGTTTGTATGTGTTCATTTATTGAGCTTTTGGGGAAGGGAAGAGGTAAAGTTTGGATGTCTATTTATTATTATTTTATTTGTATGCTTCAGCAAACCTTATTTATTCTGAAATACTTGATCTTTAAAAAAACCCAAAGGCACTAAAGCACAGAAAACAGTGCTTTTACAGTCGCAGCTCAAAGACTCTTAGAATAATAATGCCACAGGTCTTTTAAATCTTAAATTCTACATTTTCACCCTGTTCTTTTTAATCAGTTGGACTGTCATCATTTTTCATATGCTGGTGCGTTTTTTCACCCGTTTTTACTTTGATTTGTTTCATTTAACAAACATACAAAAAAAGTGTTCTACTACCATGATGAACCTGGTTTCTTTTTTCTTGTATTTCAGAATCTGGAGATTGAGAATGTGATCAGAAATATCTCGGATGTGATGCAGAGTTATGCAGCGACCACTTGTAGGTTTTCTGTGCTTTTCGTGTCCTGATGACCTGTCCTTTTTCTATTTGTAGTAACACAGAAAAAAAAAATCATATACCTTTAACTTTTTCAAACCAAGTTATGGTACATCCGCCATTGCGGATGTGTTTTATTGGGACAATATCTTATACAAACTTAGAATTGTAAGGAAAGGGATAATTTTTGTTGTTGTTTGCTTTACAAATGAAAAACTGAGAAAGTTAGTCATTTTTGTTTATCTCTACCAGGTCAACCCTTTTTACATCCATATTTTTTTTTAAATAGAAGGGTAAGATTTTTGGATATTGTTTCTATCAGCTTTGCACATCTCTAAAAGGTAAAGTGTTGCGAGCTTTTCATTGGTAATCTGCAGTTGTTCAGATTGAATATAGGTGGAACGGTTTTTTTATTTCACCATGATTTTTTTTATGGAATTCCGCCTTATCCGGGGTCGGAATGCAGAGGCAGCAGTAAAAGTAGAGATGCCCAGACTTCCCGATCCACACACACCTCCCCCAGCTGCTCTGGGGAGATCCTGAGGCGACCACTAGGCCATTCTAACACATAAAATGCTTTGTTTTTATTGTAGCTTTGACTGTATTAGTGTCGCTGACATGTTAGCAGGTGAATATTCATTCATCTTTTGTGGCCACTGCCAACCTTTTATACAGGATTGAAATGTATTTAATTCCATTTATCTTCCAAAAGCTGAGATTCATCAAGATAACAATTTAATATCAACAAATATTCAGTTATAAAATTAATCTTTCAAACTTGTTTTTCAAATTGTGTTGATTTTACTGAAACAGAAACAAAATATCAAAGAACAGCTTTGTAAAGCTTCTGGTGAAGATTCTCAGTCATCCAAAAAAAGTAAAAAAAAAAAAACAATCCACTGGAATTTGTTTTCGAAGTTTGAAGATGTTTCGCTTCCCATCCAGGAAGCTTTTTCAATTCAAAATGTTAGAGTTAGCGTTGAATTCTAAGCTTTATATAGTAGCCCGAAAACTTGTTTTGGCTTAGAAAACATGCAAATTAAACCAGAAGAACGGGTGCACCTCTTAGGAATGGGGAGTGGTTTGGGTTCTTTATTAGCCTGCAATACCTAATACTGGTCTATTCCTCTTAAATGTGGGCCGTTTGTAAAGCTGGATCTACTAAATAAAGTCCTGTCAAACTTTTATCTTAACTCATTGTCTGAAGTTGAGATATTGCATTTTTCTTTCATTTGTTCATATAAACTCTTTGTGCTAATCAGAGGATTTCTAAGTGTTTTGTGAAATTGAATTCCTTTCATGTGTATAGCATAAAGCATAAAAAGGCAATGAAAACAAATAAATAACACCTTAACCCATGTTTTTTACATGTTGTAAACTTTAAAAACTGTGTGCTATTTTCTTGCATTCAGTTTAGTTAGATTTATAAAAAAAATAAATAAAATAAATTGCATTAATGTTTGTTCTAACATCACAAATGTGAAATGGTTCAATAGGAATAAATATATAATGCTTTATTTTTATTTATCCTTATAACCAGCTCCAACCATCGCCATGTCTCCTCCAAGCTCTACTGTTGCTCAGTGTCCAGGAAACCAAGTGACGCAGGAGGGCAGTGCTGGCTGTGGCTGTCCATCCGGAACTGTACAGAGCCGGGAAAACTGTACTTGCCCTGTGGGGTTTGCTCTGCAGGGAGCAGCTGAGTGTAAAGGTGAGACATGGACAGATTGGGAAGAATGAAGCAATGATTAAAGGTGATGTCTGTGGTACTTGGAATACAAGGAAACTGGAGATGTTGGGAAACCATCATAGGGTTTATCTAGTGTGCAGGCTGCAGAATTGTTTCCACACAATTTACCACTAACTTGTAAAATGAGAATTCCTCCTTGGAATAGATAAATGCACTAAATCCATACAGATGGAGGAATGTAAATTTGTTAGAGGCAATGAAAATTGTAAAACCATGGAGTTATTTTGAGAAAGCAGCTGTAACGGGCCTTACTTTAGATTTTTGTTCTGTCTATTTTTCTAGGAAATTTTGAATTTAACACTTCCACATCGCGCCAAATTTGATCGTATATCTTACCCTCATCTGTCTCAATTCAACAGATGTTAATGAGTGTGAAGGAGAAGGACCAGGGCCATGTGGTCTCCATGCCAGCTGCACTAATACCCCCGGCTCATACTCATGTTCCTGTCTCCGTGGCTACATGATGGGTTCAGGAGGGTGCCAGGGTTTGTCCGCCTCCATAAAAGTGTGTGTGTGGGTGTATGGTGGAGAGAAAGCTAGATATTTTCATAAAGATAGAGTTTGTGTGTCGTGGTTATAACCCATATCTCCTTTGGGTTTTTGTAGATATAGATGAATGTGCTCTGGCTGCAGTCACGGGCCTGCAGGCCTGTCAGAAAGGGGCTGAATGCAAAAACACCCCCGGTTCCTTCGCCTGCTCGTGCCCAGTGGGATATGTGAGGGCTTTGAATGGGAAAGACTGTATAGGTAAGGTGCATTTTAGATTTGATATGAAAGCTGTCTTTGTTGTTCGAATCCTGGGTAGCCCGTCTTTATGAGACTGTATCATCATGAATAACTTCCATAAACGTCGCCCTCCACCCTGATGCTGACAGATGATGATTTACATCCTGTTTAGATGTAGACGAGTGCAGCTTTGAGAAGCAGTGTCGCCGTGAACTGGGAAACATATGTGTGAATACTCCTGGCAGTTTTCTGTGCCAGTGCCAGCCTGGCTTCAGAGCTGAGACCCCTACCTGTGTTGGTAAGTCTTTTATTAGGTGTCACTGGAATAGGTTCATATCTAGATTTGAGCCCATGCTTTCAGTACCTATCCGTCTCCTGAAAGTAGGGGATATACAGCTTCAATCTGTTGCTTTGCTGCAAACCTACTCTTTAAGCCTTTATTATTGCCTGCTTCTACCTCTTTTATCCATCCTGTAATGAAAACTTTCTCTTTGGAAGTGAACATTTCTTACCATTCTGTAAGTTGCTTTTCATGCATTACTTCTGCACCTCTGTACTGTGGTTCTCTGTAGGCCCTGTGTATCTGCACTACTTATCGTGTCAGCTCATTGTATTCTTTAAATGCAAAACACCTGCTGCCTGCTTCAGGATCTTTATTTGAAAAAGCACCAGTTAAGGAAATATCTAAGAAAGATAAATGCTATTGCACGAGATTATGTGGAATGACGTGGAGCACCAAAAGTACAAGTTAGACACAGGTTCTTTCAGTTTTAAACCTAAACAAAACTTTCAGTCTTAAACAAATATAACCTGTTCAGAGAAAAAAAAAATCCAAACCTCTTAATCTAACCTGCTTTATTAATTTAATGTCTTTAGCTTCAGGTCATAAAACTGGTAAAAATGGTTATTTGATGTTTTTATGATAAGTTAGTTTTAGAGATGACCAATAATTCAAAATCAATATATATCGCAATGTAATTTCATTCAATAATTGTGATATTACAACATACAGTATTCTTTACAATTACAGCATTTTTTACCGACTAGGTGATTTTTTTTTTTAAAGCAAATATTTCAAAAAATGTTATATCAGAAAAGTTTTAGAAACTTTTCAAAATAATTGTCAGAGGTTTGTGCAGATATCCATGGCAGTCTTTCTGAGACTTTAATTTCATATATATCGATATTGAAATGATTTTGTATCCCTCCATCCGTCCATATTTTGTCTGCTTTTCCCAAGCAGGGTCGTGAGAAATAATTTTGTATCAACATAAAATTTAAAAAAACATATTGTCCGTATCGTTTTAGCCGTATCATTCAGCCCTTGTTACTTTTATGCCAAATAAAACGAAAGCAACATATTTCATATAGAGTATTTTTATAAAAATCTTAGTGATCATCAAGATGTGAGGCAAAGGTTTCCTTTCTATTCCGTTTTGCACTGTGCCCTTTTTTTTATGCTGAATTATTAACACTGACCTTATCTGAGGTGAATAACACCTGCACAGCTTTGGATTGTGCTTTCTAAGGGCTCCAGAAGAGGTCATCAAGAATACCTTTAGAACCTTTTTTTTCCTTGAACTTTATTTACTACATCTATGTATTTTCTCACCTTTTCTGTGTAAGTTGTGTGTATTTTCCCAGTGCAGCACAAACTTTTTACATCAATCCCATCCACTGATACTAGCTTTTATTTTGAAGGCTAAAAAACTCATATTACAAACCTTGTGGAAACACTTAATAGATGTTCAATAAAATTAACTTTTGATGACTTTAGTCTGTTTGCAGGACACCAACCACTTACACCTAGTAAGAACGCTGAGTTTGTTTGAACATAATTTTGTAATATGACTTATTTGTGTAAATGTGTGTTAATATATATATATATATATGTATATATATATATTTTTTTTTTTTTTTTTTTTACTCTTATCAGCTGTTAATGAAAATAAGTAATCTGCTACTCTCTGTCTCTGTCCCAGACGTGGATGAATGTACTGAGAGTCCCGGGTTGTGCAACGGTCAGGGTGTGTGTGAGAACACGCTCGGGAGCTACAAGTGTATGTGTCGACCCGGTTACCAGGGAAACGGCACACACTGCGAAGGTAGGCAATTAGTGCTGACGTCTCTCTGTGGAGAAACTCTGCTTCCCAACCATGGGGTCAGCTTCATCGTGTGCGGAGATTTTAATGCCTGCTGTTATGCCTTCCATTAAAATGATCCCGGGTGACAGAATGGTTATGGAACAAAAATGAACGTAGTTTTAGATGCAGCAAAAAAAGTTAAAAAATAAATAAATATATGTATATCTAAATTCTCCCCCTCAGATGAAAATGAGTGTTTATCAGGTAGTCACAGGTGCGACACCAACGCTCGGTGTGGCAACATCATCGGCTCATACTTCTGCCAGTGTTACCAGGGCTTTAATGGAGATGGGCAGGCTTGCTTTGGTGGGTAAGAGTTATATATGTGCATGTTTTCCCACAAACATGTCTAGCGACATGAAACATGAAGGTCTTTTAAGTTTGTTCTTAATTACAGATGTTGATGAGTGCCTTCTTAACAATGGCAACTGTGAACACAACTGCACCAATGAATTTGGAGCTTACAGCTGCCAGTGTGCTGCAGGCTTTCAGCTCGACAAGGATGGACATAACTGCACAGGTGATATAGATCATAGATTGAAAGAGGATGTCAAAAGAAAAAAAAAAAAAACCTAAACACATATTTTTAGATGATAAAAATTCAATTAAATTAAAATGCGAGGGGTGGAATCTTGGATATGCAGGATGAACAAGTGGATATTTGGTATTCAAGTTTATTTACATTAGTAAAAGAGTGCTATGGTACTAATCTTTAGTAATTCAGCTTATTAAAATATGTTTTGTAATTCTCACTAGATTCAAAATTCTGAATGCATTTATTAACAGTTTGCTTGGCTTAGTCCAGATTTTAACTTTTAAACCTGGCTTTTATACTATTCTGCTGTTCTGTTTGAGGTCGCATAAAAACAACATAGCAGTTTGTTTTTGTTTATTTTTGTAATTAACAATATTAACACTTTTGTAATGTTACAGTAGAGGCCATTCAAAATTTCCCCAATTTCCTTGAAGGGCCCTTGCTGGTCCCCTACAATTCCTTTTTAAACATCAATGTTTGTACTAAGGTATTCTTTCTGTCATGATATGTGAACATTAAGATTTAAACAGAAGCGTCATCTCCTGGTCAGCCCTTGTCATTCAGTGAAAGGGTGGAGTCAGAGTAAAAAAAAATGCCTAGGAGAAGGAAGGGGTCACTCCACTGGCTGGAAGTTGGAGGGGATTTTGCTGGAAGTAGCAGGGGAGTAGGCTGCCATTCTGCTGGCATTTGACTGGGAAGGGCCATTTTAAATGGCTGCTTCTGTATGTTTTAAAACAATATTATGAGTGTTTATATGACAGGAGTTCATGGCTAGCTCTGTAATGTAGCTCTTTTGAGTTTTGTAAAGATGACTTTTAAGTTATTCTCTGACCACTACATCAAATGAAAAATAGTAAGAAACACCAACAAACTAAATCACCTGTCAACTTGTAATGTAATATCTGTTGGATTCTGATTCAATTCTAGGTCTAATCTTTCAAATCACTGCCCCATTGCAACATTTTTCATTCATCCTAGAACCAGGAGAATTAAAATATATTAAATGGTGCACTGTTCTTTCTGCTAAACTACTTTGAAATCTTGACAATATTTAATTATTTAATCTCTGATGAAATTAATAGCATGTGAACAGTGTTTTGTTTCATGCAGTGATGCATATCTTTGAATAAAACAAGAGATACAGTAAGACAAACACTGATATTTAACAGTCAGGCCCAAATTTAGATTTGGTTCTTTGTAGAGGTATCAAGTATAAAGTACAAATACTTTGTTACTGTTCTTAAGTACACTTTTTAGGTATCTATACTTTACTCCATTACTCATTTTTCTTGCTACTTCTGACTTCTACTCATTACATTAACACACAAGTAACTGTACTTTCTATTTTTTACATTTAAAATAAAAAACATTACCCGTTACTCTTGGCTTCGGTTTATAAATATTTATTTAACGTCATGTGCGCCATCCAATGCAGATCATTGGCGCCATCCACATCTAGTGAAAACTAGTAAAATTGGATGAGACATATAACGCAAACACTCATTGGTTAGCTAAAGGAAATCATCAGAATCAAGCAGGTGTTCTTCAAACTGCAAACGTGAATTGTCTATGCCATGCTACAATGTTGGATTCAGAAAAAGATGTCGAAATGTCTAAAAGGTCGGAGAGAGCGTATCGGTAGATGGAGACGGAGACCAACAAGACCTCCCTCATCCTTTGCCCTATCTCAATAAATGCTTGAAAAAGAAGTTAAGTCAATGGTTTGGTCTTAGATAATAATGTTTAAAAAAATTAGTACTTTAAATCCCATATTGAACAGATTTCTTGAATGTAATTATTTCAACTCTGGAATATTGCAAAATGTATAAATATCTTGTTCAGGGGTGATAATGAGAAACTAGTCTATGTAGATTTTACTTCAAGGCTAGGCGTAAAGCCTTCCTTTTTGATTAAGCTAATAGAGTGACTCAGGTTATACTGAGCTATTATGCTGCTGAAGGCTTAGACTGCTGGAGGACACAGGAACCACTTTACATCTGTCTGCTTCATTCTACCTGTATTCTTTCATTCTTCAGTATTTCTTATTTTTAGAAATTCTGGGAACCACTAGTAAACTTGCTAATTGAGAGCGAAGTTCTCTGTTAGGAACATACTGTAAGGAACAATCATATCTCTGATATAAGCTGGAGCTTGGTAATTTAAGGTTCATATGTGGGAAGGAGAAATTTAAATCCTATTCCAGATTTAACAGGAAGCCAATGAAGAGAAGCTAGGATATGAGAGATATGATTTCTCTTTTTAATTTTCATCAGAACTCTGGCTGCAGCATTTTGGATCAGCTGAAGGTTTTTAACTACAGTTTGTGGACTTCCTGATAGTAAAGAATTACAATAGTCCAGCCTTGAAGTAACATGTTTTATATGCATTCAGGAGCAGAAAGTTAAGAGTCATCCAGGTTTTTATGTCTTCAAGACATGCCTGTAATCTATCTAATGGGTTAGCTTAACTCAAGTCCGTCAGATAGATATAATTTAAACTAGTCTAGTGCTTTTCCTTTAATTCTGAGAAAAATATTCAAGTCTTTCTAAAAGAATATTATGATCAACTTTATCAAATGCAGAGCTGAGATCTAACAGGACAAGTATAGATACAAGTCCATTATCTGAGGCCATGATAATATCATTAGCGAATTTCACCAGTGCTTTTTCAGTGCTATGATGAGCCAGACTGAAACTTCTCAAAAAGTTCATTATGGTGTAAGTGATCGCACACTTGTTTTTTACTAATTGTAGATCATAGTGTTGGGCCTGTTTTTCAGTGCTTAGTCCTGTTTCCTTAATTGACATTAGCTTTACTATGTCTAACTGTTACATTAAAACCAGCTCAGAATGCATCTGCTTAATAAATTCTTTCCTAGATAGAACCATCTATAAATGTAGCTTACTGTTTTCTAACCTTTTCTAACATTAAAAGTATTCATGGATCACTGCTTTTATGTTCTTTGTGTGTCTCCCTCTGTTTTCCTGAACCCCTTGTAGGTATCAGCAGAAAGCCACTTACACTTGCCCTGGTTCTTCTGGGGATTAAAAAATTGCTGAAAAAATTTAGGAAAATTTTTATTGCACTTATTGCACTTAAATTACGTCAATAGAGAGCAGCAAATAGATCAAGCCTACCTGAACCTTTAAATCCATCATAAATGTTGCCACATATTATAAGCTTCTGTAGTTCAGGGGAACCAAAACAAACTTGGCAGAGTTTGTGCAACAGGATCTCTCCCCAATGCAGCCAGGATTCAAACTCAGCTCCTATTGTATCAAAGGTGTGCTGCCTTACCCTACTACACCAGAGGACATTCTGCACCCAATTTATCTAAGCTTTTAAAAACTTGTACATCAGTCGCTTTGATAAGTCCAAATAAACCCTTGATTGTTGTGTTATGCTGTGGTGAGCTAGTTATCGAAATGTATTTGATCCCCACAGATGTGGATGAGTGTTCAGCTCCAAATGGGACCTGTGAGCACTTCTGCATCAACACTGTGGGCTCTTTCCGGTGCTCCTGTAAACCAGGCTACCAGCTGCACATTGATGGTTGCACCTGTGTAGGTCAGTCACCCACAGGCACTCATTCACTTAATACAGTAGTTTGCTCACTCATTTTCAGTCATTTAAAGCAGCTCAGCGAGGACAATTTACCAGAATGCATAAGAGGAGAAAAAAAAAACTGCCATGAATATGTTCTCCATTTTTCATGGGTTTCTGCCTTTGTGTGTCTGTCGGAGAGGATGTTTGCATAGCTGGACATAAATGGGTGTCCTGGGGGCACATTTTAAAACCGTGCAAGATGAATAAAATAAAACCAGCATTCGATTCTGTACAAAAACCAGATCTGAGTGCTAAAATTTTCATGTTGACAATTTTCCTGTTTGTTTGCATCCATAAAGACATTGATGAATGTAAACTCCAGAATGGTGGATGTTCTCACACCTGCACCAACTCTCCTGGGGGATTCACCTGCCACTGCCCACGCCCCCTGTTGTTGGACTCTGACAACCTCACCTGCCGCAGTGGGTTTACTTAACACCTAACTAACTTTAGTTTTGCATATGCTAAAGACATTATGGAGGATTTGCATAATTCATATATGTCAAAAATATTGAACAGTAACCCATAACAATTTATTTGAATTCTTTATTACCTTTTATTCTCTGAGACCTAAAGTGTATGTAACTTAATTTTATAGAAATTTTCTGGATTAAATATGAGGAAGTAGTTTCAAGTCCCAACAGATCTGCACCCTGAACAGAGATTTGAAAGTTCAGAACTGGAGCTGAAATCCGTTCTTATTTGGTTTTATAAAAAGCCTTTGTGTCAAGATTCTACAAGAGTATTTAATTAAACAATCTGTTGCAAAAAGTTTTACTTTAAGTGCATTCTAGGGGACGTTTATAGAAACTAAAAGTGCAAGACATTACAACATGCCCTGCATTCTGGCACCTCACTTGCTTTCCATGGCTATTAGAAAAAATTATAAAGATTTAATTACTATTTTATGGCTGGAACTAAATACTACCTGTCATCAAAGATTAAGATTATTTATGAGTTTTAATTGTTTGAGGTTGAAATGCCTCCTTGACATCATTCGAATTTTTAGCTCCCTCCAACTTTATTTTCTTTGATCAACTTATAAAAACTTTTATTTTTCCTGACCCCATCACTGTTTTCCAATACACTAAACCAAATATTCTGCAGGAACTCATTAATGTACATCCTAATCCATGTGCGCTCTTTGGCATCCTAATATCATAAGCTATTAAGAAGCTTGACATAAATATCAGAAAGGTAGAAAACTATAAATGCCATTTTTTTTTCTTATGAGCTAAAAAAAAAAAAAAAAAAATTTTAGCCTTCTGGCTTTTTTCTTCACTTAAAAATTACCTTTGTATACCGACCTATGAGGGGAGATATGATTTTCTCACATTCTAGCTAAACTGATTAAGGTAATTCTCTACAATTGCTCATGTTTCCTTGGTCTTTGAAAGCAGACAACCAACAATGACCTCTTGCACTTTGTTAAATGACAAATTTTAAATGGGTTCTTTGTCTTTTCTCAATGAAACCAATCGTTTAATTGGCTGTAAAGGTTTTAAGGTAATAGAAGCTCTTGTTTTTCCTGTCTTGACTAGATGCTACATCTTGTAAGCTGAGAAACGGAGGCTGCGACCATCTATGTTCACTCAGAGCTGAGGGTGAAATCCAGTGTAGCTGTCGAGCAGGTTGGAAGTTGGGGGATGACCGCAAGAGCTGCATTGGTGAGACTTCACCTTCACTCTTCACTTTTTGCTTCTTTAAAGATTTTAGGATGTTATTTCAAGCCATATTCTTATAAAAAAGGTGTTAGTTGATTGAATTTTAATCACTACCTCTCAAACTACAATCTTGAATTTCCTCAGGTTTCACCATCTGTTCAAGCCTTCCTCCAAATGTAATCACTTGCTTCCTAGTGCTCTCAGCTATGAACATTATACAAGCTGGATGGGTTTCAGAGATGCCATCAAACTCTCGTTCTTTTGCACTTACCAGCATAAAGTTGGTCACAAAAAGAAATCACTTCAGCTGGGTAAAAATTGGAAGTGCAGAACCTTGATTGCCTGCCGTCAAATCTTAACAAGTTTTGCTGCTGCCAAGTTCCACAAATCATGTTTGCCCCCAAACTGCAATGTTATTTTATCTCAAATGAAAGTAAAACATGTTTGATTTATGAGCTTTGGAAATGTCTTTCCCTCTCTCCTTCCTCATAAGATGTGAACGAGTGTGTAGACTTTACAAACGGAGGATGTGAGCAGCTCTGTGTGAACCTTCCTGGTGGGTTTAACTGCACCTGCAGGGAGGGGTACGAAGTTCGAACTGATGACCTCACCAGGTGTAGACGTGAGTCAGACAGCATAATTCTTACACACTGAGAAGAATACATCTAAGTTAACATGTTTGGTGATTGTAATTCTTTGATTTTGTTGTCTAAAAAGCTGAGTTAAAGTGTCTTTTAAATATTTTCCAGCTGTGTGTGACCCCCCATGTCAGAACTATGGAGTCTGTGTGGGGCCAAACAGCTGCGTCTGTCCTCCAGGCTACCCTGGAGTGGGCTGCTCAGGTACAAACCTCAATGTAAAGGACCTATATAAAGGGATGCTTATCCCTTCTTGGCAAACTATGTAAACCTCTCATTAATACATAGAAATTAACTTATATTCACTTGTTTAAACACAGTCTGTACCCAAGGCAGTCTTTGGTTTAAAAACTCTTGTTTGACTGAGATGTTTATTCTGATCGGTAATCGTCCAGAAATGTTTGGTCAAGAATATCTGACACTTCATTTTATACAACAGTTTAAAGAAGAAAAGGGGTTTATAACTCAAGATGACTGCCCCAGATAGATTTAGATTTAAATATTTATTCTAACTATTCACAAGTTTCCTCTGACTTGAATTAAAATAAATTGTCGGAGGGGTCCAGCCAAGGTCCTGACTTAAATCCAGATTAGGTTGAAAGTAAAGAGGCCTTCCAAACTCAAGGACTTCAAGCTCATCACTGATGCTAAATAGTCTAAATACCAGTTTGCCATATTATAGATAAAGGCTTTTCCACAGATTATTTTAAAGGTATTTTTTTGGCCACACTATCTTTTGATGAAATATAAATATAATTATTGTCAGAAATCATAATGTGCATTGTTTTGTTTTTTTTTTGTCTTTTGAATAGTATATGTGCTATTTTCTTTAAGAAAAAAAAACTTCCTGAATTAATAAAAACACTTTCATTAAATCTAACGAGAATGTGAATTATTTTGAGCTTAACTCGACGTGGGTAGAAAATGGTTTGCTCAGGGTTATAACATGGAAGTAGTGATGGATAAAATGGAAATAGGAATTAGCAACAGCCTGATGTTGCAGGCATCTATGAAAAAATGAAGCTGGAAGTACAAATGACTAAACAATGAACAGCAACAGTTTCCCATGTCTCAGTCTGTTTAAATAATATTTAAGACAGTGCCTTTGGTTTACAAGAAAGTATATTGGTTGTTTATTTCAGCCATGTGCTCTCCACCCTGTGCTCATGGAGGAACATGCATGCGATGGAACATGTGCTTGTGTCCCTCTGGTTGGACAGGAGCAGGCTGCCACACAGGTATTATTCCATTGAAGGCATATTTTCTTGTTTCCAAGTTATCCCTCTAACTTTGTGTTGTAGATCATGCATGCATATACATTGAATGTTGCCATTTTCTCTCCCTTTCTCAATGCTTACATTGTCCCAGTTGTTTGTATTTGGACTCTTCAGGTTTAACATCTTAGCTTCTCTCTGTGCTCAGCTGTGTGTGAGTTGCCGTGTGCTAACGGCGGTCGCTGTGTAGGCCCCAATACCTGCCAGTGTCCCTCTGATTACACGGGCCCCCAGTGTCTAGTGCGTGAGTAAAATGACAACAAAACATCAAGTAGAAATAACACAAGTCTCATTGATTGCAGCTAATCTATTTTTTATCAGATTCATGTTGTAGAGACTGGTTATAACGTAAAGAACCAATGATTTTATCAGTTTATTTAAATATTGGACCATATGTGACCAATATGGAGGAGATTTGGACTTCATAGGAGGTGTCTGTGTGTGTGTTTTATAGCACTTTGCACTCCGGCCTGTCAGAACGGGGGAAGATGTGTGGATGTTAACAAATGCACGTGTGAGGCTGGATGGCAAGGAGCTCGATGCCAAATTGGTAAAATGATTTAAATAGAAAACCTTCATTAATTTCATTCTAGCCTCTGTCTGTAATTTAGTAATAGTGCTGCTAACATTGAAACAAGTATTTTATGGACATACAAATCTTTTTAAAAGACAGAAGAAGAAACACAACCCAATTGTTGTTTTTTAGGATGTACATTTTGTATAATAATGATGAGACACACAAAGTTTAAAATGTACTACTTAAAATGTGGTTTGTAATTAAGGTGATGAAGGAATTATAACAAGAATACAGACTATAGGTAAGAGAACTGCTTTACTATAAAAAAAAAAAAAAAAAAAAAATGAAAGCAGAATAGAGTTCCTCATCCCTGAGGCCATGTTACCACAAAGCAAACACACTGCAGTTTACGGCCCAGTTGTTTTGGCCTCGCTATTTGTTGAATGTCTTTTTCTGGTCACTGACTCTCACTGACAGGTGCAGGGATGAGCCTTGTTGAATTAAATTATTCCAGACAACATTAGTCCTGGGTTCTTCTTTGTCCTCATCAGAACCCATCCAATGTCAGAGATCATGTAGGAATGGAGGCATGTGCGTGGGCCTCAACAGATGCCGCTGCGCCAAAGGATTTACCGGCAGTCTCTGTGAAACAGGTTTTTCAATGACTATCAATATTATATGTGTACTCTTTATTGGTGGCTAAAAGAAAGAAAAAAGTTTTTTCTCTTGTTAATACTGGGTTGTTACTGTAGCTGTAGCCACGCGATGTGTCCCACCCTGTCAACATGGAGCCACGTGCAGCCCGCACAACACCTGTACCTGTCCAGAAGGCACCACAGGCCTGCGCTGTGAGAGGCTGTAAGTGAAAAGTAACAAGATCATCTAGCACCAGCTTCTCCTCAGATTTTTTTTTTTTTTATGGTCTGTTTTTTTCCTAAGTTTTTAAAGGGATTAATTGGTACAAGTGTCATGATCATTGAGTTTTTTATTTTTATTTCATGCCGTTTTTGTCATTCATTTAATGCTGCGAACACTTCACATTTTACTCTGTATGTGCTCATGCAGTTTAATGTCTTCTTTTGCCACAACTAAACTAAATGAAAGCATTGACATAAATATTTTTAAGCAACACTTTATTACAAGATTGTATATAGCTAAAGTTCGGAAAAAGCAATTCACAACATAAACATAATGCTGCATAGTTAATATTGCAGGTATAAAAATATTAGCTATACAGTACCTTGTTTATGATCTGTGTTTGTAGATCTGAAGAAAAATTGAGAAAAACACCTGGATTAGAAAGTAATTTTAGTGTAAATGCACGTTGAATGTATTTTGTGGAGAATGATGCACATTTTGTCTTGCTCTGTATAGAGTTGCTTTATCTGCTTATATAGGCAGCCTGTGGTTGACTACAGCAAACTACAGTTATTTTAAAATGAGTGATGGGTGAGCAGTATGCAGCATAGACCTTTTTTTCCTAAAAATAAAATAAAAAACCCTGGTGGGTCTGACACTTTCCTTTGCATTTCATTGCAAACAATATAAAACAGACAAATTATATAGCATTAGACTAGTTTAGAGCTATCTAAATAGAGAACTCTCACATGAATGACTGATATTAGGGACAGGAAGTCATTTAAGAATGTTTTTTTCCCTCCATTTTTTGTTGTTTTCTTTTAGCAGTAATAGCTTTGCTTGATGGCATTTGAAATAATCCTACAGTCAAAAAAAATCTGTTCAACAGGTTAAACTAATGTCCACAACTATAAACATTAAGGTAGACAGAACAAGAAATTATGAACAGGTGCCCTTTTAATTAATAAAAAAAAAATCTTTATGATTTAATGCAGGGGTGTCAAACTCAATTTCAAAGTGAACCACTTCTGCATCATTAAGTCTATAAAAGGGTCAGTTGCAGCTGTTTTAATGATTTTTTTTTCTTTCATAATTTCATTTATAAAGATTACACTGCTGTTTTATCATAACTTTACTAAAGAAGTGTTTGGAATGTAGATTTTCTTCCTACTCTATTAACTTATCTACAGTACTTAGTAGGTTTAGTTGAGAATGAGTTGTTTTAGATGACAGAAATCTGTCACTACTCAGCAGGCCTTCTACATTACCTCATCACTGCTGAGCGCCTTATCATCTCCAGATCCCTCATACTTTTTATAGCTACATCAGACAGTTGTGCTTTATGACAGTCATTTTGGATCCCTTAAGATAATTTCTTTGCTGCCTAAACACTTTTCAAAAAAATTATCCTAACTGTTTCATATTTTTTAGGACATGCCCTGTTGTCACCATGATGGTCAGCACAGCTCGTGCTGTGAGGAAAGCTTTCAAGGAGAGCTATGTCGATCGCTGTGGACCCCTGGGAGTTCAGCTTTGCACTAAATACAGGTCAGTTGTTTACCTACCAATGCCAGCTATTTCCTCTAATCGGGTTTGCATTAGGATTTTTTTTCCTGTTTTTTTGTTTTACACAACTAAAAATCTAAAATAGTTGTTTTTTAGAGTTTTTTCTGCTAAAGAGCAAAAATCTGTAGGTGTTTGTTTTGGTACTGAATTTGAAAGCAAACATTGTTTTAAATCAGAATGAAACCATTCAAAAAAACTGTTGCTTTTTTGTCATGTGATCATATTTGCAGGATAAACCAGGCTCGTGTGTACCTGCAGGCCTACAGGGTTGGCTACAAAATCCAGTGTCCTGGGAAGAAGAATACATAAGCTGAACATGAAACGGGGACAGTCACTCAGCATCTGCAGAACAAAGCATTTTGGTTTCTGTGTGAATGTTGAAAGACATTAGAAGCAGAAAACCTTTACTGACAAGTAATGCTTACAATTATAAGGACATTGTTTTTGGTGATTAGGTGCTACACACAGACAAACGAAGTTGTCAATTGACTGAATTCAGAAAATATCAGAACTGTGGAATTAAAGGGAACTGTTAAGAGAAACTATACTAAAAAAAAAAAAATCACCTGACTTCCTTAGAATATAAAATTGACTGAGTTCATTATTAGTAATGACTTGCTTTTAAATGGCAGCTTTATGCTTCAGTGAATGTGGACTGTCAGTGTACAGCTAAAGATGTCTGGTCTGTTTGATAAAGCTGACAAGCTCCAAATAAAATCCCCATTTTTTTTATCATACATTGATTTAAAAATTCATAAAAATTTAATGAACTGCTGAAAGACTTTTAGACTAGTTTCTCACTCGCCGCACAGCTATTTGCATGGTACCAATCCATGCCTCCTTATCAGAGAGGGTACAATCTCCTCAGAATGTGGAAATATCTTCTGTCTCCTACTGAGAAACTGCCACAGAGAGTAAAGATTGATTGCACAGGATGTTGGGAAAGAAAAAAGAAAAACTCAGCTGCTGGGAGCCTCTAGCAGCAAACGTGATGGTTCCAGTGCTGAATGTTTGTACTTTCTATGACATGGAAAAGCAGTGTTGCTTTCTTTTTATTACAGCTCTTCTTTTTAACGCATTTGTAGATATTTCACGTTGATTTATTGCTAAGAGTACTCTTTAATCCATCACATCCTCTTTTAGCAGATATGAAAAAAGGAAGTTCTGCATCAAGGATGTGAGAAAGAAGAGAGAAGAAAATGCTCCGTTCTTTATACCATTAGGACAGTACAACTGTTAGGTTTTACAAATTAAATGGTCTCTTAAAACAAAGCCTTTAAGCTGCTGTCAAACAGTTTATTGGACTATTTTTGTTTGTATTTAAAAAGCTTTTTGCGTGAAAAAAATAGCATGAATATATGATGGTTTTCTTTAAAGCTTGGCCAGAACCAATGTATGTGTAACATATCCATTTGCTGCCTACTGAATCTCTGATCACTTGGACCCAACTATCCTGCACATCAGTTGGTGACATTTTAGTTGTTTTCTACATGCAGGAACAAAATATTCTCCAAACAGAGCCTGCAGCCACAGCTGTGCTGAAGTGGACAAGCATGCTGCAATTTTAAACTTATGCAGGACCAATAGTTTAGCTATCCAAGATACTGATGTTTGCTAAAGGGACTAATTATCACCAATGTGAGTATCAATCATTCTGTCTGTTAACAGTAATATTAAGAAAAGTGTCATCTAAATAATTTCATATATAAAATTTATAAACCTCTCACAATAAACTTTGTCATGCATAGAATGCTATCTGACTGATTTGATGTAGAGATCTAGCATAGAGCAACATCTAAAACTCAGCCTGAAGGAAATTTGGTTGTTTAGTTTATTTTTGTACCAAATGTACCAATTTTGTACCAAATGCTCATTTAAAGGTCAATATTTTATGGATATCATACAAAACCATAGTTGTCCATTCATCCATCCATTCAGTTAGGCCAACAACACACATCACCTCAAGGCACTTTACAGAGAAAATTGTATCGGATCTTTGTTCAAAGTTTTCTATTTAAGGATATTGATTCATTCAGTTTGGTTTGCTCCTCCTGAATGAGCATTTGGTGACAGGAGAAAGCAACTTGCATTGTATCATTGACTCCACAGCAGTTATTCACATCAAGCACGCATCAACCGTGGAGAGCAAAAACATTCTTTTAAATGGAAAGTAACCCCAAGCAGAACCAGGCTTCGTGTGGGGGGCATCTTGCCAAGGCTGACTGAGGGTTTAAGGAGGAATTGTATCAGCTGAAGGCGTTTAACTCCAGTTTGTGGACATCCCGATAATCAAGAATTTGAATAGTTCAGCTTTGAAGTAACAAATGCATCTAATTTTTGCAGTAAAATAAAAAAGCGAAATTCCATCCATTCATATTCATCTGGCTTATAGGGGCTAGTACCTATCTCCAGTCTTTGATAAAAGAGGTGTAAACCATGGACGGGTCACCAGTCCAAAAAGCAAAGACATAAAACTAATAATTGGTCCTCTGGAATACAAAAAAATGTATTTTCTTCCTGATTTCTTCATGATAAGTGGCTAATTTTGTGTTGTCAACATAGCTGAGGAACATTCTAACCTTTTCCTTTATTTGAAATAATAACTCTAGACTGTTCACTAATGAATGCAAATGACACAAACTTTGGCTCATCAGTGTTTTCCATGATTGTACACATAATCACACTAACTCCCTGATCACCACGACGCTGATTACTGCTAGAAATGATGAAGCAAGAAATCACCCTCACAGAGCTGTCTGTCAAACGAAGTAGGAAAAATTATCTTAAAGGCAACACCTTATGGCCTGATATAAAGACATGGGGGTACTAATAAAAACAAATATGACATATGTCAATACTAAAATAGTTACACAACTGTTTTCAAAGCTTCAGGACTCCAGGGACACATGTATATCAAGTCTGGAACAGTGAGGAACCTTCCATGTTGAGGTATTTAACAAATAATCCAGGGGGTCAATTGAAACCCAGGACAAAATCTAAGGCACTACAGGTAACACTTGCCTCCTAAAATAGGAAAGTTTATTCCTAGTTTCAAGGTCAAAAGAATGCCAACAAAAGAGAAGCTCACAGAGATCTGTTTTCCACTTTGCAAAAGGATAATTTGTTGATACCGATTTGAAAAATAATATATAACAGCTGCGTGAATTCAGTTAACAAAAGAGATCGGTGGAGACAGTTATAGTGGCACTTTAATTACAAAACTCTCGCAAGAATGAGAACAGATAAACAATACCCACATCTGGTCTGCTCTCTTCTAAAGCAACAGGCATGAGTTAACTTTTCATACTCCTCTCAAAGCAGATTTCATAAAAGAAACGCATACAAAAGAGACAATGCGAAAACCCCGTCCCTGAAACGGATACCTGAGGGAAGGCCGTTTGCTGCTGGTGCCCAGAGAAAACAGAACAGGCTAATCTCAAAGCAGGCCCTGATAAGAAGCAAAACCTATAGGAGACACAATGGATCAAATATGTCACAATGGACATTTTGATGGACAGTAACCTGATTTAGCATGCACAAAGCAAAACGTGATGGCCAGATGTCCTAGGTTTCTTTTAAAATGCTAACCTGAATCTTAATTTCTTTAAAACAGGTCAGACAATCTGAGGGTTGACTGAAGAACAGGATAAAAAAAAATTAAATTTCAACTAATAATACCCACATTTGGGCATATATTCTTTAGTCCATGGACAGAGGATAAAACAAACTACCGTAGAACTTTTGATTGATGTGCATCCCTTCATTGGGCTTAAAGCCAAGTTATAATGAAAAAAAGTAATATACAAACCATCAAACACAGTAGAAACAGAAAATCCCTCTATTGTCCCACAATGGGGAAATTCTGGTGTTTACATAAGTAAAAATAGTACTTAAAAAAGGCATACATTTATGGGCTTTAGAAAAAAGTGTTGGAAAAAAAGAATAGTGAAGAGTTAAAAGATGTACAATAAGATACTGTACTGTAAAGTGTTTTAACAATATAAAAACTGTGCACCTGGAGAATAAATACCAATTATATAGCTATGGACATTTTTACAGTGGTGGATATTTTAAAATAGCAGCAACATCACAGATGTGCAAAATGACAACAGTATGTTATTTAAATGACTAAGGTAGAAACTGTGCAAAATCAGCATGAATGTTACAACTTATTGAGGCCATTGGGAACAGTGGTGGTTATTGAGTCTTCCAGCTGGTGGGAGGAAGGATCTGTGATAACGCTCCCTGGTGCATTTAGGGTGCAGCAGTCTTTCACTGAAGGAGCTCTCCAATTCAGCTACAGCTTCATGCATGGGGGTGGAAACATTATCCAACAGAGATGTTAATTTAGTGAGTCCAGAGGGCATCCAATCACAGTAGTGGTAATGTCATTTATCTGGGGCCGCGTTGGTGATTCAAACCTTGGGTAACTTGCTGTCTTTTTAAATTGTGGCTGAGATTCAATTTATAATCTCAAGCTCACCAGGACTTAGGCTTTGCAGCAAAAAAGCAATTAAAAACACTTTTTGATTCTACCCTTTACTAGATCCTCAAAAAACAAATGAAGATTATAGGGTGGCCTAGTCAAATCCATGCCTCGAAAGGGAGACACAACCATTTTCTTTTTCCATTAGTAGATGTAATCATTATTTGCAAACCTAATATAAAACCATATGTACTAAAATATAAAAGCAAAACCTCTCAGAAAATTCCCTGTGACATCACAGTCACAACTTTAATATTCATTTAATATTCATTGTCAAGCAAAAGCCCAGCTCTGCTTAAAACTTAATCCCATTATGTAAAGTATATATTTACTCTTGCAGTTTGTTGATAAAAAAAGGGAGATTAAATACAGGTATTTACAGTATTAATTAGAAGAGTAGGAGTTGCTGCTGGGTATGGGGGAGAGATGGTAGCAGAACTAGCTCTTTGACAACTGGAAAGGGAAGACAAACACAGATTTGCTGGATTTAAGTTAATTTCTATAGGCATAATCAGGCAGTACTAGTTAATATTTCTAGAGGGCAGAAAACAGTTGTCAATTAATAGAACTTTAATCCATACCTCGCCTGTTTTTTTATAGAAGAGCAGGAAAGCGTTTCTAAAAGGACAAACCTTTCACCCTCCAAAGAAAAAACTTTCAGATTCGAGTTTCACACATGTAAGAGAAAAAAACAACATAAGGAACAATGCAAATACAATCTAGAAATAAGTAAACATCACATAAGATGATTTGTCAATGGAATGAGTATTTTCACTCCTAAAATAAAATCATTAGATAATATGCACTTGAAATAACACAAGGCAATTGATTTTTCCTGTTTTAAATTTACACTGCAAAACATTTAAATTTAACGAAGCCAAATTTTTCAGATATTTTCTAATTCTTGTGTTTATGCCTATCCAGATATTCCTGGACTAGGGATTTCAGCCTGCTGACATGATCTAATGAGAAAAAACCCCTATATTTTTCTATATCTCTCAGTAGAGGCCGTGGTCATTACGGCCATTGCAGTGGGCAATAAAGAGGTAATAAGACTTAAGTGATATTAGCATTCTGCTGACAGATTTGGACGTCTTTGGCTAATCCAGAAGAAGGCTTTACGTTCTGCAGATCATCGTCACACCTTCTGTAAGAACATCACTGATGAATTCATCTGGCTACATTAATGTTTTGTTGGGATTTTTATTTCTTTTATTTGAAAATGTCTTTACTTGAAGCCAGTTTCCTTAGACAGATTTCAACTGCAACAATTTTTCTTTTCAAAAGAGGCCAAAATATGTCTTTTATACACAAGTAAAGGTAGATTTACATGAATACAGTCATGGCAAAAGGTAAGTGTTCGCTCTTTCAGGTCTAAAGTAATAATCATGAGGACATGCTAAAAATGTCCCTGTCTTGTCGACAGGGTATGTAGAAGGATTAGTGAGTCATTTTGCATCCATTTGGGAATTTCAATAAAATCAATCTTAAAGCAGCTCCACTTACCAGGGTCAGTAACCATGGTAACATGTGCATTCTAAAAACGCCTTGGTCTAAATATCCCAATTTGGTTCATTTTACTGATTCAAACCTGGACTAATTCGAAATATATATTCATCAGTTGGAGACTGAATTACAGAGGGCAGAGTCAGCCTCCTGGGTTCAGGTTTTTAGGATTGAAAGTTGGGCTAAAACTGGGGAAAAAAAAGGCAGATTGATTCCTAGTGTGTCACTCTCAAATGTTAAAGAGGTGAAAAGACCCCTTCTTTTGTGTGTCTGTTAATTATAATATCTTAGAAAAAACACTTTAGAATAAAATATTATATTGAAACCAAACCATGAGTAATACTTATGGCTATTCATTTTTTCTTTCAAAATTAGGTTCTTATCATCATAAACAATTTTCTTAAGAGCATAATTTTTCCTGGACAAAGTAGGCAGCACTATAAAGATTATGTTAATTTCTCCATAATTAATTGGTTAAGTGGTCAATTTCACATAATTAAGTCTAATTTACTGCCAAAAACTTCAAAGGACATAGGTGAGAACACTCAAATACTAGTATAAAAACTAGCTATTTTTAATAAAGGTGCCATATAACCAAGTAAAAATACTTTTACTGTACTTACTATTTGTTTGTATCTGTTCTTTACAAGTGTACTTTTTTTCTAAGGACCTTTTTACTACATTTGAACACAAATATATGTACTTTCTACTCCTTACATTTTAAAAAATGCCTTGTTTGTTTTTTACGTATTTATAATGTCATAAAGTAACAGCTGCAAGAGAAAAATTAAAAGTATCCAGTTGGACATGTGTGAAGACAGGAGGCTGGACATATTTCAGACAACGGATCAGATCCAATTCTCCCTTTATTAGTTATAAAGCTAAATGTAGATCATGTTTCTATTTCTATATCAATTCTTTTTGCAAATGTATGTTGAAATTGTATCTATTTTCTGTTTTTTATCTATGGCTTGTTGATTTCAAGTTTTACTTATGTACTATGTGAAACTTTTTAAAAACTTTTTTATAAGCAATTCAATTAGCAATTTTACTTTTTAAGTTTATAAAAAAATGAACTAAATGATTATTTCAATTCAGTTAAATTCAGTTTATTTATATAGCACCAATTCACAACACAAGTCATCTCAAGGCACTTTACAGTTCAACCAGATCATACAGTCAAATTGATGAAAAATTTTCTATCTAAGGAAAACCAGTTGATTGCATTGACTCATATATTTACTGCAGTATATTTTTAATTCTGCTGAAATTATATTATTTTAAAGTAATGCAAGTGGATTTTGTGGTGCCTTACCCAACTCAAGTTACTTCCCTGAAGGAAGAAGAAACTTCTTTTAACCCTTTATAGGGCAAATTACCATTTTTGATAACTTGCATACCCCTTACAAATGGAACCCCCCCTGTCCCTCAGTGAGGTCTAGAATCACAAGATCTATATCCAGCCATTCAGCAAACATACTGCTACATGGCTGTACTGTACATCTTATTTTGGCAATTGACCCATTAGATGAGCCCTTGAATGATATATTACCTACTGTAAATTAAGTTGGAAAAAAGAAAAAAAAGGTAAAAAGCTAATTGAAAAGTAAAAAAGTTAATAAGCCTGGTTAACAATACTATTTAGGTTTATTAAGTAAAAAATTTAAGTGCCAGTATCAGCATTAACCTCTAAGGTTATGTTGTACCAAATAAAAATGTGTTTCTTTCCCTCTCAGTGTTTTTCATGAATTTCTTATAGAATCATTTTTTTTATTTTTCTTAATGTATTCAAGCAAGTTGGCGTTCCTTGTTATTACATTGAAATTCATTTTTTGCCATCAAAATATCAATATTTTTTGAATGTTACAAAGGTAATAAGGTCTTGTCCTGGATTCCAATAACTAACTAACTATTGGCTTAAAATTTTGATTTTCAAAGTATTTCACTGAGTGCCCTATTAAGGGTTAACCAAAACCAGAAAATAGACAAAACCCAGTTTAAAGCTGAAATTGAGACTGTTATTATTTTGTCAAAGGGGAAAAGGTTGCTCAGGAGGTACGGACTCATCCTGTAACCGATGGGCTGCTGGTTTGAGCTCCCACTTGATCCATCTCTGTCAATTTGTCCTTGAGGAACAAGGAAACCACCTTACCTGCTTTTAGTGGTCAAAGGGCCCAGAGGCTCCCTTGTATGGAAGCTTTGCCTTTCTCAGTTTGCCCCAGATCAGTTATGGCTAAAATCTATCTTGCAATCAGCATGTGAATAACTGAATGTAGTGTAAATGGCTTTAAAAAGTCATTCGACTTGAACATTTTAAATAAGTAAAGACAGTTTACTTCTTGTTAGTACATAAGCTTCAGTCATTACAAAGACACAATATAGAGACTTAGACTTAGAGAGTGTACGTCTAAATAATTTGGTTATAAAAAATATATGATTAAAAGAATTTGAACACAACTTTACATTTTTCTTTGTCTGATCTCATTCCTTGCTCAAGCTCATACCAATACAAGACACATTCTACTATTATAACTACAAGTAATAATAATAGTAGAATAATTGTGACAATTATGGTAATAACAATGTCTCTGCAAAGACTTAAAGCAAAGGCTAAAGGCAAACAAAAGCCCAGAACCACCTAGCAATATTTTTATACCTTAAACATTACCAAATTTGGTTTATTTGGATAAAATACATTTTTATTTTGTTGTTGGGGTTTAAATTGAGCCAACTCTGCAAGCCTCTTCTGTGCTTCTATTTTCATTTTAAAGAAAGGAGTTTTCTTAAAAACCCAGCAGGGCCATCATTGGGGTTAGTCTTTGCTTGGACCCCCCAATTAATGGGTAAATTATATACACACACACTGAGTTTGCAATTTAAAAAAAAAATCAGTTCAATAGATCAGTCACTGGTCCTGTCCTTTGAATAATGGGCAACAAATTAGTATTACTCTCCCAAAACTACCTGGACAATTTTTTCTGATGGTATTTTTTTCCATATGAAGTTCTCAAATCCAAGACTTCAAATTTTGAATGCACAATATTGAAGATTCTTTTTTTGTTTGTTTTTTCAATAGGGCTCTGCCTGCAGACCTGCACTGTGGGGACCCAGAACTGCACTATGGGAACCCAGAGCTGCACTATGAGGACCCAGAGCTGCACTATGAGGACCGAGAGCTGCACTATGAGGACCCAGAGCTGCACTATGAGAACCCAGAGCTGCACTATGTGGACCCAGAGCTGCACTATGAGGACCCAGAGCTGCACTATGAGGACCCAGAGCTGCACTATGAGAACCCAGAGCTGCACTATGTGGACCCAGAGCTGCACTATGAGAACCCAGAGCTGCACTATGAGGACCCAGAGCTGCGCTTTCAGGACCCTGGCTGCAGAGCTGCATTGTGAGGTCTCCTGCGCTGTTTAAACCGGATGTTTATTTGAAGACTTTCAAAGTAAAAGCAAAGTTGATTCGAAGCCTTCCTAAAGTAAAAGCTATCATCGATAAACTCCCCCTGAAGCTAGCTTCCATTCACAAACAAGTGTTGTTATGCTTGAAACTTATAAGTCTCTGTATTTGGATCACTGGATGGAAAAGGGCATTCGGTCTATTAGACATTTTCTGAACAACAATGGAGGTTGGCTGTCCTATGAAGATTTTTTTCTTACTGTATAATTTAAACTGCTCCTATGCTCAGTTTCACACTGTAATAAACTCTAATCCAGCAAACACGTCCTGGGCGCTATTCCCGAAGGCTTTGAAAACAACTTCCAGTATGAACTTGCAGTCCTGACAGTGCAGTGAACCCCATTTTGCAGGTCTGCAACGAAGGGTCCTGACAGTGCAGGTCTGCAGTCAGGTTGTTTTCATAAAATGCATTCAAACTGCTTAAATCGGCTCATATTTACACGTCAGCAAAATCACTTAGGGACATTTTGGGAAAGAGGAATTAGCAGGTAAGCTTTTTACCCCTTTCTTTAAAAAAACAACAAAGCTGATGTTAGCGTGGCTTAACACATATTTCATATGGCTTTGGTGCCAGAGTGATTCCTGCTCGGTAATCCATGACAGCCTCCACTCCAGCTGGCATTGAGAATGTGAAGTGCTGCATGAAGGACGTGAAGAAGAGGAAAAGTTCAACCCTGGCCAGGTTCTCCCCAAGACACAGACGCTTTCCTAGGACAAAATTTAGAGGAGAGGTGCTACTGTCAGTAAATGATCACTTATCCTTAAAACTCTGGGCTAAATATATCTATACAATACAGGCAGAGAAAGGCCAACTTTACAATATTAACTACAATGATCAAATAATCTGAAGCAATCACTCAATTTACAATACATTGATAAGATGCTACAAGCGATGTCATAGTATTCATCCACCTGAATATTTTTCACAATATTTCATGTTTGTTAGATTTTTTTAGACCAACTCAAAGTAATTCATTACAGTGAAGTGGCACAAAAAAAGGTTTTAAATGAGTGAATGAAGTTGAAAGGTATGGTGTGGATGTGTTGGTGTTGACTACACACTACATTCACAACTGTTGGGTTGTTTAAGGGTATTTTAATACTAGACACTGTCACAGTTTTGGTTCTGTTTTGTTTTCTTTTGAGTTTTAATTTGCTCCTCTTTTTCTGGTTTTAGTGGTTTAATTCTTATTTTGTTGAGTTTTCAGGTTATTTTTCAGTTACTGTCACAGTCTTGGTTCTGTCATGTTTTCTTTTGAGTATTCAGTTTTACTTTGTTCCCTGTTTTCTAGTTTAAGTGTTTTAATCCAGGATTTTATTTGTTGCCCTCTGCTGCCCTCTTGTGTTCTCCTTTTTCCCTAGCTCCTTTCCTGTTTCTGCTCTGTACACACCTGCTCCCAATCTGCTCATTAGGCCTCTCTTTGTTTCAGTCTCCCATAAATACTCTCTCTGTGCAGTTCTTCTGTGCTGGTTCCTCGTCAAACTTTCTCCAACTCTGTCTCATTGACTTTCCCCCAGGTGTCTCCATGGTTTTGGTTTGTTTGACTTTGTTTTCTTGTTTGATTTTTGTATTTTTGGATTCCTGCCTCAATGTTCTATTTCTAATATAGTGAGGCCCCTTTATGGGGTATTATAATAAAAGAGGATAAATCAAAAGAGATGCCACAGTTTTCTAAATTTGACTTCAGAAGATTAATACAAACACACTACATGCTACATCCCATCATAAAAGTATATATCATCTATGGGGTTTGAAAGACACTGGATGTTCAGCTGTTGGGACTCCTTACCGGCAGAAAAAGGGATAAAAGCAGCTCTTTTTTCAAACTTGCCCTCCTCATTCAGGAAGTGTCCGGGTTTAAATTCCAAAGGTGTCTCCCATTCTTTTTTATCAAACAGCACTGAGGCCAAGTTTGGAACTATGAGTATGCCCTGTTGAAACAAGTGAAGGTGTTTAAATATGCATAAAATGTTGAATATAAAATTTTATTTGAATTTCACTGAAGTCTTGCAGGAAGTTACCTTTGGGATGGTGTAGCCTCCCAGCTGGACTTCCTTGTTGGTAGAATGTGGTAAGGCAAGAGGAGCTATGTTGCCCATCCTAAGGATCTCATGGATTACAGCATCTGTGTAGGGAAGATTGGCACGATCCTCCATAGACGGCTGTTTGGATTGTCCGATCACTCTGTCTATCTCGGCTTGGACATTCTCTGCAAACAACCTCCACTTTCAAGATGCAACTTGGAAAAACATATTTTTGAGTGTGTGTTTGGGTGCTACTGATAAAGTTTTATTCGAGTCGACTCTTGTACCTTGAATCTCAGGATATTTAGCCATGTAGAGAAATGACCAGCGCAGGGTGGTGGATGTAGTTTCTGAGCCAGCCACAAACAAATCCAAGACACACATGATCAAGTTTTCTTCATCAAATGTGTTGCCTTCCTGACCCTCATTCTGTGCAAAAAAAAAAAGAAAAGAACACAATGACATCTAGCTAGATCAAACATATACAGCTAATAGTTCATTTTTAACAAGGAGAGATGAGGTTTGTGGGATCTGCAAAAAGTTCACATTGAAGGTTAAAGGACAACTCACCCCATTCCAGTCATCTAATATTTGAAAAATGTGCCATACAAACACAGTTCCCAGCCTGCTAGGAAATGTCCAGGGGCCAAGGAAATGTGCAGGGGCCAATTTACAAATGAAATGCTAAGCTAATGAATCCTCAATCTGAAAATACAGTAGATTGAAAAAATGCAAGGCCCGGTTTTTGAACCAGCAAAGGAGAACTACCCCACAGTGGCAGAGCTGTTCAGTTAGTCTTGGTAGTGTTGGAATATTTTTGGAACAAACACCCATTCTGATTTAAATCAGATGATGTACACTTGTTAAACATAAGGAAAGTGCCAAATAGACGGTTTTAGACGCAAATGCTGGACCGCAACATGTGCAGTAAATCGTAAATATAGCGCCCATATTATGTAGACAGTCTATAAGACATCAATGTATACAGTTTATTAGCAATAAATGAATAAATCCATGATTTGCAGTTAGCTGTCCTTAAAAAATATAGCAATAATCAAACAAGTGATAAGTTTAAAGTAGCTATATATTCCTTTCTCAGCTTCCATAAATGTCACAGTAAGATACTACATTTATGGTGACCAGCAAATGTGTCATATTTAGCAAATGACTCAACATGAACAGTAAAAAAACCTGCAAACGGCAAAAGAAGCTGCAAACACGAATGAAGCAAACTCCAAAACACACAATCAAAACAAAAATACAATAAAAAGTTGCCAAATGCCAAAAAAATCTCAAGTTCAACAAAAGCTGCAAACGTGCTCCATTTAACACATTTCCACCACACCCAAAGGGGGATTTTAGAACCACGTTAGATGGAGTTAGACTCTCAGTAAAAGTATTAAAGGGATAGGCTGTAGAAAGTTGGAGGCATGTAACTCAGCAAAATGTTTGCAGAAGTTTATCTGGCTTTCAGAAAATGATACCCAGTAATAAGTTATGAAAGATCATAAATAACTGTCCCTATATTCCTTAAGCTTTCCCTCCCCCCTGAGAAGAGAGCAGAAACTTTAAATAACTCTTTATGTGGTTTATGTATTAAATGAATAGGAAGCATTATAACTTTTACGGAATGGCAATCTTACTCAGATCAGAGATCACAGATACAGATACGATGGACTCTCACTTAATCAGAGAGTCAGCAGCAGCCCAGAATAACAGTTTAAAGGACTCATTTATATTGGCAGGTTGTGACCTTGGAAACATAAAACAGTTTACTGCACATTTGTTAAAATTCTGCATTTGTCTCTTAATTATTTGCCGCCCTCCTCAGATTTTAACAGGGTTAGTGCATCAAGTTTTTAGTCGGTATTATTGCCGGTTCTGCAGTTATTTTGACGTCACCCACTGTGAGGTATAAGCAGCTTATGTCTCCCTAGTATCTTTGTAGGGAGTTGGGGTAGTCTAGATACAGACCATACTTTCTTACAGTTTGATCTACATATTATCATCAAAAACACTAACTTGCCTCTCAGAAACTGTTCACATTCTTTAGCATCTCTAGAATCAGCATCTCAAGCAGGTATTGTATTGTTTGAAATGCTACCATCTCTGTGATTCCTCTCCAAGCTGTCAATCCACCTGAAACCACACCCAGCCCCTCCTTCCACTTGAATGTTCCAATGTCCATAGGCCACGGCTTCCTTTAGGCTCGTATTTTGAATATTAGGTGTGGGTGGAAGTACGGCATCAGAACAGAATAGGTTATCCATAATTGGGTTTTCAAACACCGAATGCCACCAAATATTGTTCTTATTGTCAAAATTAGACTAAATTTTCAGTTTTTATATATATATATATTTTTAATACAATTTGACAATCCAGGTTTTAATTCTTATAACACCTTTTTTCTCTGAACTGTGTAAACAAACAAACAAACACTTAAATACAATATAACTTAAAAGTATAATTTATAATGGGAATTGTCTGTATCTTGCAGTCACCATTTGAATTTCCTGCAGGTAACAGTCGATGTAATCTCTGCGTTCTGTGGGATCCCAGTTCTCCTTGTGCTGGTTCAGCTCCTCTCTTATGAAGCTCTTCACATCTCCCCAGATCTGCTTGACGGTCTGATGTGGACCAGGCAACAGCCTCATCAGCAGAGGAAAAGAATTGTAGAGCTGAAAAAAAAATATATTGGACACAATGAGTTAAAAATGCAGCTGACTGTTGCTTTGGGACACCAACATAGGTAAGGAATAGATTTAAATGGAGGCAAAATGATATAGCTGTATGTTTATTTAAAGCATATAATATTGTATTTCACCACGGTTATGTAGAATACAGTAATAACATTATAAAAACAGAGTGTTTAAGGCTATATTTCTTAATTTCTTTGTGTTTGGAGCGTTGCCAATAACTGGCATGTGTTAATTGTAGCACACAGTCACAGTACACAACAGTTCCATTTCATCATGAGGTTTAGAAAACCTTACTTGTGCCCAAATAGAGGCTTCGATCTGGAGTGCCTTGTCAAACAGTAGCATCAGTTTCCTGAATTTCTCATCCCCGTACTCGAAGCGGTGACCAAAGACCAGGTGGCAGATGATGTTGGAGACAGCGTTATTGATGATGAGATGTGGATTTACAGGCTTCTCTTGGTAGTTTAGCAGAAAACATTATATAAACTGCACAGCTGACCACTTTGAATGTATTTCTAAGTGTTAAATAACTACCTTTATAAGCTCTGAACTCTTCTGCACAATGTCTGAATTCATCCAGGATGACATGTTCAAGAGACTTTTTCCCAAACCCAAAGTATTTGAGGGTTGAAAGTGCAAAACGCCTCTGTTGTTTCCAGATGTCTCCATTACTAAATATTATTCCTAATGACAAAGAAAGAAGGGAGAAAAAAGGAAATATAAAGTGAAAATTTATACAACTTATATTTTTTCTGCTGTTGTATTGGCTTTCCGTTGTTCAGAAGGGGAGAAAAAAAATAGCTAATAGTTTGTAATAATAATTCGCCTGAATGCATGCTGTCATAATGATATTTATTCTTTGTGCAAATGTTGCAACACATAAACATTTTCTGTAAGTTTACAAAAAGCACATTTGCCCATGTATGGCTACGTGTAAGGATATTTTCCTACCTAATCCACCTGTTACTTCTTCCTGCAAAGCAAGTTTGGGACGGTCCACCATGCTGTCTCCCTTCGTAAGCAGAGCCTCCTTAATAGTATCAAATCCATTCAACACTACTGACCATTTCTGACCAAATCTTAAGCTGAATACATCTCCATAAGTCCTTGCCAACTGAGTGAGATTTAAGGAAAGTAGTTAGAACATGGATCAGTTAAACAGTTGCAGTTGGTTATCATTTTATATTGCTCTATACCTCCATCAGCTTCTCATGGGGCCTGCTTTGGTCCCATGTGAATATGTTGCCCACAATGGGTAGAGCTCTGGGTCCAGGAGGGAAGCCAACTGGTCGACGGTTTTTAACCAAATCTGCGGTAATGATAAAAACCACCACAAATAACAGCAGACTCTTTAAATCCCAGTCAACAAAGAAACTAAATATGGAAAAAAGCAAATCCATGGTGCTAACCCGGCCTGTCAATATGCTTTTAATTTATTCCCAAGGCACTGCATTGATATTTTGCTCTAAGAAATAGCAGCAATGTTTTTTCTCATCTAAAATGTTGCTTCAAAGAAATAGATTACTTATTAAATTGGACTCTGGTCCCTATATCCTTGACACAGCAACTGAACATGTTACATATATTTCCAGGTACAGTATTTGTAAAATACTTATTGACCTAATGCAAAGATTGAAGTATTTTTCTTTTCATTATGAGTATAAATACAGTGTTTGGAGAAGACCAGGATAAGGAAATTAATTTATCTGAAAAAGTACCCCTCATTACTTTAGTATTTTTTTTAATTAATGTTCCTGTCATTATGAAAAGGCAAGAGAACAACAACAACAAAAAAAACTCAGACCCTCATAAAGGTTATTTCTGGGCCTTATCATTTTGCTTATCAGTGGATGACATGCAGAGACCTGCAAGGTGATATAAGTTGATACCAGAATTTATTAAAATTTCTGGTTGTTTTATCAATATAATTGATTATCTACAAGAAAAACTGTCATAGTGCTATTATTGTTTTCTACATGATCATAAGAACTACTATGTTTCAAAACGACTAGGTCCGATTCATTTACAGCTTTTCACGCTTTACTTCTGCTACTGTTATAACATTTTCTACCACATGGTAGCAGCAGTGAAATATTTATTGGCCGAAATGCTCTCTTCAAAATAAAACCAACGTGTTAATAACTTAAAAAATATATTAAAAAAACTCATAAAAAGGTTTAACCAAACGTGTTTTATGTGTTACAGAGTGAACTTCAAGTCCCGCTTGAATAAAAGCATTTCATTTTTCAAATGCCGGTCATTTCAACCTACTTTTTTCTTTAAAAAAAAGACACCAACATTAACGTAGAAATTTTATTATCACGTCCTCTGGATGTGCATGATATATCTGTCTTTGTAAATCATAATAGTTCATATTTTTCCTTATTCACATTCTATTCTCACTGAACATAAAGCCAGTTGAAGCTGCTGAAGCTTTTAAAATGAAAATACCGGAACCGGAAACTTCACATCTGTTGTCAACGACCGTCGGCTAGCTGCTTTGACCTGAGGTGTCCTCCAAGAGCAGTGATTTGACAGGCAGCCAGGAATAAAACATTAAAATATGGTTTTCGAGGAGAAGATGATCACGAACGGGGAACCCGAAGATGTTAGTAGTAAATTCTTTATATTTTCTTAAGAATATACTCAGGAATTCCTTTAAAAATGTAACGGTCACCGACCGAATATGCTAGCTTGTCTTAGCTTCGGTATCAGTTATTTTCCGGTTTATTAATACGACATCCTAGATTAATCACAATCTAAAGTTGACCTTTTTTTGCATTGTTTGCATCATGGATCTAGGTTTACAAATATTGACAAAATTAACTTTTATTGGCTGGAAGTGAATGATGCCATTGATCTGGTTGTGTCTGTTTCAGGAGGAGGAAGAGGAGGAAGAAGAGGAGGACTTGGTGGTGAGTCAGCAGCCTTTTTGCTCCAGAAGGTTTCATTAGTTAGAATTTATTGATTTATTATTGTTTTTCTCTGTACCACCATAAGACTTTGATTAAATATGAATGACATCTATTGAGTGGTTTTAATGCGATACTAATGAATTAAGAAGTCTAGTTCGTTTCAAACTTCAAAATTTAACCAACTGTTTCTAACCTTTTTGCCAAAAGAAGTTTAGTAATGCATATTATGGGCATAGATAATGTTGAATCAGTTTGTGGAAAAGCATTTGATGTCAAACAGCCTTTATAACTAACATTAATTATGGAATAACTTCAATAATTACAGTTTTATCTTGTCCTTAGCATTTTAAAAGGAATTGGTTAAGTTTCCCTCTTCTGGCATTGCTAAACCTCCCTCTCCATGTGTATATTATTGAGATAGATGGTGTTTTGGACAGGATTCTCCAGCCTTAGAGCAATTTTAAAGTTCTTTGTTCAGCTTCTTTTGTTACGTACTGAATGTTTTTCTCGCATTCTCTTGCTTACAGCCTTATGAATCGTAAGCATGCTTTAATATTTTGTCGAAAATACAATTTCACTTCTAATAGCTTTCTGTTGGATATGAAATTAAGTTGGAGATCACAGCACTGTAGTATACATTTACTAGATGACCTTTGATTACAGGACCCTCTTGAAACCTTGCGGCAGAAGTGTGAGGAGACGGAGCACTGCATCCACTCTCGGGAACGTTTGGAGTTATGCGAGACCAGAGTTAGTTCTCGATCCCAGACAGAGGAGGACTGCACGGAGGAATTGTTTGACTTCCTCCATGCTCGGGACCATTGTGTAAGTACAGAATGTACCAGTTGGACCCTGCTAGGTGATTAAAGAACACAGGTCATAAAAGCAAAGATTCACTCTTGTACAACAGATTGGTCACCTCGAATAATGACAGTTATCGAACTTAAGGCTTTACGTGTGTTTTGTTTTAATCTACCTTACTTAGTCACAGATGTATCTATCGGCAGAGCTGGCGAGGGGATACTTTTTGCTTGAAAGTTTGGGCTAAATGTGTACACTGAGTGGCTTTGTTACTTTAAATTTTATGTCTTGTCTCTTTACAGGTGTCTCACAAATTGTTCCATTCTGTCAAATGAGGTCCCCTGTGCCTGGATGACTCGATGACCACTTTCTCCAGAAGTCAGACTACCAGGAGGATGGGGGTTCAAACTCGCACATGTGTTTATCTGCTCCGTGTTGTAACTTAAAAATGTGTTATCTAAACATGTGAAAAAAATGTATACAGTCATTGTGATTCAATATATCAATAAAGTGGCTTAGATGCACAGATTTGCTGTGTTCTTTTTTTTTTTTTTAAGTAAATGCTGGTTTTCATTATTCTTGATTACACGACCATAATTACAAATTTGCTCTTGACTTTTTAGTAAAGGTTAATGTGATTAGCAATCAAGATTTTGAGCAAGAAAATATGTTTGTTATAAATATGAACCCAATGAAAGCGCTTGGAAAAAAAATCTTGTGTTTTCACTTTTGTAATATGTTCCCTAAAGTTAGAATTTTTTTTTATTTTTTTTTTATTTTTATTTTCTTTAACAGTTATCTATATTCCTTTCCTTTTTACCCAGTGTTTTACACAGAGCATCCCCTTTTTACTGTCATTGCATCCTTGACGACACAACTGACCAACTGGTACTTGTAATCCTTAAAATATTACTGATTGCAGGCTGTGAGACAGATATACAAGATATCCTGTCCTACAAAATCTTCAACAAATAGCAGTGATGCAAACAGAACACACAAAATAAATACTGCCAATGTACCCTATAACACATCAAGAAAATGCGCCGGAAAACCCACTATAACCACAAACCTCTGAGCTATTATGGGAGCAAATATTACAAAAAACAGTTAGTAACCAGATGGATACTTATGTAAGTTTTGAGGTTGTGTAGCTATGTCTATACAGCCAGACTTAAAATTTGGCAAGGATAGTATAGAGATCTCCCTAAATAATAAGAATATAAACATAATTGGCCTAATTTTTTTCACTTAACAAAAATGAATAACATTCTGGGAAATTATCCTTTTGATCTTCAGGTCTTTAAAAGGTTTGAAAGACCCTATGCCATGCCTCTTTAATCCAATAAGGGGCTTGTCTAGGCTACTCAAAATTCTGCCTGGGGCACTTTAAAACTCATTGTAAAGTGGCAATCAGTATAATCTATTAAAACCATATATTACATTTTTTTTAAAAAGATATCCATTTATTACATATCAAAGGAATTATATCTTATATAAAATTTAATTAATTTTGCTAAAGCCCATGGGTAAAAATATAGGTATCATTTGCTGAACGTTGTAGACCAATCGCCTCTAATTATCTGACTGACCGTGCTGTGGAAAGGCGTGCATGATTATAAGCGTTTAACTATGACTATATTCCAATATTGTAAGATATGGACGATTGATCTCCATGTCTAGTGAAATATCAAATATTGACAACTTATTTTTTGTTTTAATTTCAGTATTTCTGGTTTTGTTTATTATATCTAATTAGGTTTCATTTATTTTTTTAAGCATTTGTTTATTTCGTTTGCCCCTATGATATTCTGTTGAGAGAAGGGAATTCAAATATTACAATTGCAATTAAATATACAAGATATTTTTGACAAACTTTCTACTTTTAAATGTTTTTTTTATTTAATGGATTATCTTAAGAAAACGACATTGATAGAAAGAATATAACATTTATTAACTTAATTATTATAATTTTATTTCATTTATTTTTTGTTTTGTGGATCCTACAGCATCCCGATCCACACTAATTCCAGTAGATGGCGGTAATGTGCATCAATAAGTTGCTTGCCAACCGCCATAAAAGAAGAAGGCGATTTTTTATTTTTAACAAAACATTTATTGAACAATGATTTCACAACAAACAGTTAAAAAACTCAGGTCATCAGCACATTATTATTATTGTTATTATAATAGCAGCTTGTTATATTTTAGCTCTCCAGAGTCAGAAATGGTGCACAAAACAGAAGAAGAAGAAGATGATTCCAACTTTCACTTGTCTGTGAATGCAGCGCTGGGGCGCCCCCTGCTGGTCCAGCAGTGCTGCATCGCATGTAATCTTGAACCAATACGCGCTGCAGCTGACGTAAGGAGATGAGAGGTAGGAATGTTTAGTGCCGCCTCATTTACTTTAATAGCTTCGACTCCATTTTCAATGAACATTGTGTTCTGGCTTCATTTAGCTGATGGAAACTCTGCAAGATTTAGTAAAGGGAGTGAAGATGGAGAGACAGACAGTGGCTCTACTGAGCTCCGCTGCTTGCGGGGTGGGAGCCCTGCTGGTGGTCTTCAAGACCGTCAGCGACCACCGGGCAGCGAATGAAAAGACCGAGAGGGCAAGGAGCCGGAGGACTGAGAGCCTGCAGCGGGCTGAGCAGGAGGTGCTCCGATACAAACAGGCGGTGAGATCCACATTTATAAACACCTGCTTCTAATGCATGCACCATTCCTCCTAATTCAGACCATATGGCGATTCAACCCCTGCTATCTAAACACATTTGCAAACTTTGATCCCTGATGTTGCAATCCACCATTGTAGGGATAATAAACAGGCTTTTCTTTTTCCTGTGGAAATAAATCTAAGTGCTTAAGTTATATTCTTTAAAGATCACATATATTAACAATTAAAAAAATAATTTGGAGGTACTTTCTCGCTGCAGATACAAAAAATAGAAAACCATAACCTAAGAAAATACAAAAAGCAGTATTTATTTATAATTGATTCTTATTATGGGATCAGAAATAGTTTTAAACCAGCCTGATCAAATGCAAAAACTTACTTTCACCATTGTTAAATGTCTCATTAGATTTTTTTCCTGCTTCAGTTTCCTAACCACATGTAGGCCATATTAAAGCCAGACTTGTAGAAAATAAAAAATCAATCAAATGCTCCTAAAGCTGCTCAGAAAGCAACAGTTCTTTGTAGACAGTTTATTTTACAAAACACTGCAACATTTTTGAACCAATAACATCACAAAACGGTTAATGTAGATACGTCAAATGGATGAAACAGGATATTTGTTTGGTGAATAAAGCCTTTCTTTCCTGTTTAGGATAAGATGTCTGCAGTGAAGGACAGTTTTATTTCTTTCTAGAAGCTTTTTGATTCTTTTTCTGCCTTCTCCAAGTTTATTTTAAACCCACTTGGTGCTTTTTTAAAAGTAGTCAACAATTTTTCTAATGCCAAAAACCTTCTGCATAGTTTCTCATTGATTAGGAGCACAAATTGGGCTGATTCTGTCTGCTTTCTCAGGGTTGACGTTAAAAATTGTGGCTTTTCTTGTGATCACTTCATTTTCTGTTGAGTTTAAATCCTCAGACTAAAGAGGAACCTGTGCCTTATTGTGCCAACCTGTACTGTACCTGTGCCTCAACTTGTCCATTTCTGTTCCTTTTAAATCCTGGGTTTAAAATAAACTTTCTTAAATAGCGTTAAAATGTGCAACCATTTGCCAATGTCGTAGCAAACATCAATCAGCATTTGTGCTTTTTCTCTCCTTAGCATAAATCCTTCGACTCTGCTGCCATCTTGTCACTGTCTTTGTCTGAGTTGACGAAGAAGCTGCGGGAGGGTTCACTGTGCCCCGAGAACGTGTTATACTCCTACATGGAAAAAGTTCAGTATCCATTAACGAGCACTATTTCATTACCTCTAACCCCTTTATCCATGCCCGTCATGCAATCTGATGTATTTTTACACAAATGCAGTTTGAATTGAAATCATAGCAGCTTCCTTTCAAATAGACTCTGGCTGTTCACAAGAAGCTGAACTGCTGCACAGAAATTTTGCTGGAGAGTTTTGACCAGCTGAAAAGCGTCGACTCCAACAAGGACGGTCTGCTGTACGGGGTTCCCATCAGCATCAAAGACAACGTTTCATATAAGGTAAACAGCTGAAGGAATTTCACTGTGGAAGTCTCTGTGTCGTCTGGTCAACTTTCCTGCTTTGTATGTGTTACCTGACTCTGCCCTCTGCTGTCTTTATCTATTTTCTCCTTACAATAAAGAACCATGACTGCTCCTGTGGCTTGATCGTAAACCTGGACCAGCCAGCCCAGAAGGACAGCGTGATCGTGGAAGTGCTGAAGAAACAAGGAGCCATTCCTTTTGTGAAAACCAACCTGCCACAGGCACTGTTAAAGTAATGAGAATTCATGACACCTTCATGGCACAAAGTTTGTGCTTAGTATATAAAAAAGAAAAATGTGTCTTTTCTCTTTAGTTCAAACAAGCAATCTGGTCTAAACACTTCATCACTCTCTGACATTAACCCAGATTATACCTGACCTGTTTTAGGTCAGTTAGGATTATCAGAACTATTTTCCTTTGCTTTAATGTCAGAGTTTGGTGTGCCTTCTTATATTAGTTTGCATGAATTTTGGCGACTACCTCCCAGAGAAACTGCTGTAACTGAGTCAGTTACGGCAGCATTTGTAGGCCATCTAGTTTGTTCATAACTTGGGCTAAAACATTGACTTTGTTGCCCTTAACCTGCTTTCTAATGAACTGGAGCATAGAGTGATTCTCCTTCTGGTCGATGTGTTGAGATTTGGTCTTTATATTTCTACATGTTTTTATTTACAGATCATAACATCTATTTTGTTCATTTTTAATGAAAAATCTTTTTTAAATAGTCTTTTTATTTGATCCTTTATGACTAAAACATAGCTTGATGAACAGACTAACACCTCAGTAGTTCAGCACTGATGCATCTATAAACCTGTAGCCTATTTTCCTTAATTCACTTCGGGCTGGAAGTACCTGCGCTGTTATGTGGCTGTGGCGCCATGTTGAATGGCTCCAAGCTAGCAAACATTCAAAGAGTTATATTCAAGATGGATTTTGTGGATATGAAGAGGCAACCTGCATCAAGCTTAACTCGGTCACTAATGGGAACTCCATGTAAGCTCCATCCATCCATTTTCTGTCATGCTTTATCCCAGCTGGGGTCATGAGGGGGGCTGGTGCCTATCTCCAGCTGTCAGTGGGCAAGAGGCAGGGTCCACCCTGGATTGTTTTGCCAGTCTATCCCAGGGCAACGCCGAGACAAACAACCATTTATCACTGACACACACTCACACCGAAGGAGAATTTAGAGAAGCCAATTAACCTAACAGTCATGTTTTTGGACTGTGGGAGGAAGCTGGAGAGAACCCATGCATGCTCAGGGAGAACGTACAAGCTCCAGGCAGAAAGACCCTGGGCCAGAAATCAAAACCAAAAACGTCTTGCTCCAAGGCAGCAGTGCTACACACTTCTCCACTGAGCAGCCATTCTATGTAAGCAGATTTTTTATGTTTTTCTTTTTTCCATGTAAGCTGAAAAAAAGAAAAAGCATGTCCAGTAAGGCTGTGAGCTATGAGAGCAAGCAGAAGAGTGCTGCAGTTCTGTGCTTTGGCCACAGGTGGCAGTATCATTACAAACTCCTTCAATTAATTTAGCCATTTTGAACTAAATCATCATCATATGTGCTTTTCAGAATTGTTTTAAAGCATACTGACCTTTGTGTTTTCTCAATTCAAAGAGTGTAATAAAAATATTACATTAAGTATTCTGGTGTATTAAACAGAAATTGCTGTCTTTCTAATCCTAACTGACGTAAAATATGGAAGTTTAATCTGATTTGAGAACCAGACAGGGAGTTTTACAGAGTTTATGTAAATATCTTTTTTCTTTGCAGCTATGATTGCAGTAACCCCATCTTCGGACAGACCGTGAACCCCTGTAATGTCCTGAAGACTTCTGGAGGTTCCTCTGGAGGAGAGGGGGCTCTCATCGGAGGAGGTGGCTCCATTCTCGGAATTGGCAGTGACATAGGGGGAAGCGTCCGCATACCTGCCTCTTTTTGCGGCATTTGTGGCTTTAAGCCAACCACAGGCCGGCTCAGGTGCGTGTGCCTCGGATGGTTTTATGGTTGCCTCTAACGCAATGTCTTTACCTTTGCTCTGTGTCACCATCAGTTCACAGGGCATGGTATCCATTTACCGAGGTCAAAAGTGCGGTAAGTGTTAATAGTCAACAGTGTCGCATATTGACACACTAAGGTCGTCCGTTGGAAATTATGTTCAGAGCTGTGCCTCTTGTTACCTTAGTGCTCCCATCACCTGGACCCATGGCGCGGGATGTGGACAGTTTAGCTCTTTGCATGCAAGCTCTTCTCTGTGACCACATGTTTTCCTTGGACCCCACTGTGCCACCTTTGCCCTTTAATAACCAGGTGTGTCCTCTGATGCATAGTGTGTGAACATTTCAATATAATATTTACAGTAAAAAACTTTTCAGATTTATTCTGTTTGAATCTTTTCTCAGTTTTTATTTCCAGCTTTTTTTTTTTTGAAATATGCTTTAGATTTAACATGTGGAATATTGTGATATCATTATATTTGTATAACGGGATAAGCTGATGTTATACAATTTCTTTTATACATCTTTCCTGAAATGGTTTTACTATATGGATCAATTGGACTCATTTTAGTTCCTAAAAAAAAAATTACTAAAGGTGAGAATTTGCAGGCAGATTCATCACAAACAACACAAGTGAGTTTTAAATTAAATAACTGCAGAGATCTTGAAATAGGAGTTATCCATTAGATTTCTCTGCTTATTATCAGTCCTATAATTTGATTGAAGGAAACAGAAAACACTGCAGGAAGTCAGAATCATCGAGGTGGAGGAAGTATGACAGAAAAGGAATGCCATATACCTACTATTGGGGTCACTACAAACAGCTAAACGTCTGACTCCATCATAATGTAATATTTTCTTTATGGATTAATAAAAGCAGCCTCTTTTCTTCATAATATAGCTTTAACGTTACGTTTAGGCAGGGAAGGTTTCAACTCTGATCTTTAGTTACACAATTTTTTTGCCCAAAGAATGGGCCCTAATTTTGAAAAATCTAATTGTTCTGGGATTTAATAAATATAAATAAGGTTTTTAATCTCAGAAAAACTCAGAAAGGAAAATGTAAGTCTGAGTTTAAAGTTTGTTTTAACAGTGATTGTAAAATAGGAAAAAGAATAGAAATGAACATTTTAAAGCTTTATCTGTTATCATTTTGTGGAGGAGAAAAAACATAAATCCTTGGAGTGATGAAAGTGCTGGAATAATTCCAGGTGATGAATGATCTTTGCCTTTCAGTGTTGTTTTGGTTGAGCTTACCAGTATCAATCTGACTCATCTTCTGGGGTCATTTTTAAATAAACCATAAAACCTGAAAAAGCACACCAAATGTCATCTTTAATGCTGATACCAATTTAAAATATCCGAATAAAAGCGACTGTCTTTCTGCAGACGTACCAAAGCTCCAAGCCTCTCAGAATTGGTTACCTTGAAAACGATGGGTACTCACTGCCTCCTCCGAGCATGGTTCGCGGCCTCAGAGAGGTCAAAGCTTTGTTGGAGCAGGCCGGGCACACCGTTAGTTCAAAACACTCATCTTTTTGCATACTCCAGCTACTGTATGTAGAAAGTGCAGTGTTTCTAAACTGATCGTTGCTTTCAGGTTGTGCCTTATGAACCTCTGAGGGTGAAGGAAGTTGTCACTGAACTCATCGTAAAGGGTTTGTTTGCAGATGGAACCACCAGCATGCTACAAAAACTGTAAGTTTTTCTTTTTTTGTCTTTTCTTTTATCATTGTGCTGTAAGCGACAGGAATAAAAAAAAAAAATCCCTCAAAAAAAACAAAATCTACACAAGTTCGTAAATTGAACAGCACTGCAATGACAAAAAAAAACCCGTGGGAGGTGACCAGGAGGCATCCGGAACAGATGCCTGAGCCACCTCAGCTGGCTCCTTTTGACATTAAGGAGCAACAACTCTACTCTGAGCTCCTCCAGGGTAACTGAGCTCCTCACCCGATCTCGAAGGATGCGCCAAGCCACCCTGTGAAGCAAACTCATATCGGCCGCTGGTATTCGTAATCTTGTCTTTTCGGTCATTACCCAGATCTCATGACCATAGGTGAGGGTGGGAACGTAGATCGATCGGTAAATCGAGAGCTTTGCCCCCGACTCAGCTCCCTCTTCACCACGACAGTCCGATACAGCATTACTGCCGATGCTGCACCGATCCGTCTATGGATCTCATGCTCCATCCGTCCCTCACTCATGAACAAGACCCAGTGATACTTGAACTCCACTTGAGATAAAGACTCTTCACTGACCTGAAGAGCGGATCCACTTCTCTCCGGCGGAGAACCATGGCCTTGGATTTGGAGGTGCTGATCCTCATCCCAGCCACTTAAATACTCGGCTACAAACCACCCCAGTGCATACCCAAGGTCCTGGTTTGATGAGGCCAACAGGACAACATCATCTACGAAAAGCAGAGAAGATATCCCAAGGTTCCTAAACCAGACACCCTCCAGTCTCTTGCAATTGAAGAGATTTTTTTTAAATCAGCACTTTGAAACGTCTACTTTGTTTCACCAGAAAAATGCAGCATAGTGGACGGGAGTTCAACTAAAGGAGGACAAAAATAATTAGTATCCATTATTGTTGGGGTGTAGATTAGAGACTGATAGAAATTTGATAGCAGGTTGCATCAATTCTAGCTTTCTGTAAGCAGTAATCGCATCAGATGTATTTAATATAGCTTAAAACCTAATTAGCACATGTTTTAATTTTCCCACATCATGCTGGCATCACTGCAGTGATTTCTGAACTGATTAGTTCAGGAGAAAACGTTAACATAGGCTACGTTCACACTGCAGCCTGAAGTGACCCAAATATGATTTTTTTTATATTTGCCCATATGCGACCTGTATCTGATGTTTTCGTGACAGTCTGAGCAACGCAGATCCTATTTTTTCAAATGCGACTCGGGCCACTTGGCTATGTGGTCCTGAATCTGATACGAATCTGATTGTTTCAAATGTGACCTGCGTCTGAACGGCCTTTAAAAGCGTCATTAATACTCAACAAAGGTCACTATTGGGAAGAAAAACAACCATGGCAGAAAATAATGCAGAGAGCGGTCTTTTTTTAACCATCTTAAAAAGACTAAGTGTTTAAGGTAGATCGCTAGACAAGCTCCAGCACTGCCACACGTTTACTTCTGTAAACACAGAGTGCGCTAGCTTGTTACCTTATTGCGTCCTCTACTACGCATGTGGGACAGTCATGTTGTGTGAATGCAGTTACAACAGGAGATCAGATACAAGTCGCAAATGGGAATGGCAACACACAAAAAAAATCAGATTTCACAGGATTGACATTAAGGCCTGCAGTGTGTTAGAGGTTCTGATTTCACTATTTGGTCTGACTTGCAAACGGTTATAGCTTTCATCAGTTCCATGGTATTTTCCCCTTGTTGCCTTGCCAGTAAGCAACATTATCTGGGTGGGCCCCATGCCAAGTACAGCATCCTGCAAAGAGACGTCCTAGTCCACAATTGCGTGGGGGGCTACCAGGAGTCAGTGATGGGGCCCCTAAGCAACTGCAGTCTCTGCTTACCAACAGTTACGCCATTGGGGGCGCAGATTTTTTTAAACTGTTCTTAATCCAAAATAACAAAACAAAAAAAAGCACTTCCCTGAACGATAGGTTAGGGGAAACTGAAACCGTGGTGAAATAGAATGGATCATGAATAATAAAATTCCCTGATGAACAAAAAAAAGGAGACAATCTCCAGGATACATTCCGGATTGATGTTGGTGATATAAAGAATAAAATCAGCATCAGTAGAGATGAATTAATCCAGATGGCATGCAGATATGTATATGCTTTGCTTTTTTATGTATTTATTTTTCTTCAGTTAAGGGTATTGTAGAGGATTTTTTTAAAAGACCTGCTCTCTCCATTTTAATATAAAAATGCATGTACAAGGGCATGCACAGGTCCATTTCTCCTCATGCGCACCCTCTTTAAAATGTGCTGCTCTCATAGATCATACAAGCTTACTGCAGACATCCCAAGTCTCCCGGATGTTCAGGGAGTCTCCCTGATATCGATAGTTGTTTACGGATGCCCGCGGGTCAGATAAATTATCCCAGATTTTAGACTATGGGAGGTGGTGTTTTCTTAATGTGAGTGAGAGCGGGCAGGCAATAATTTGTGCGTCATGTGCAGATTAGAACTACTGAGATTGCGCAGACAACAAATGAGAGCGGGGTGTAGGGAGGAGGTTACTGTGAAACCTGTGCAGCGTATCTGTCCAAAGCGATGCTCTGTTCAACGAACCTTCCAGGTGAGTGGTTGATCAGAGAGCTGATTGGATCAGTCCAATAAGTTTCTCTCGGTTACTCTCTGACAGTCACCTAGTTACCACTCAAAGCTGTGCATCCTGTGAAATGGCAGAGGTTGAATCCTTGAGTAAAAAACGAAAATACAGGATTAATTTTACAGCAGAATATACTAAAGTATATCCACGTCTAGTGAAGGTGAGGAACAGTGGCGGATCTAGACCAAATGTACCAGAGGGCCAGGAGGGGCCAGCGTGTTTTCACGGGGGCCCAGTAAAGCATGAAATAAAAAACAGGGCGGGGGGATCTCTGTTACTGTGCCCACATACAGCGGGCACTATATAGTGGACGATGATCACTGCTTTTTGTCCCGCTGGCCACGTAACTCCTCCTTCAGTGCGCTGTGCCTGCACCATCTTTGTTATTAGTCGCCGCTGTCGGGTAGCATCAGCCTATGGCGACAGTGGGCTACTGTGACAGCAAATCCCATAGTGCTTTGCGAGGAGAGCTCTCCACACAAAGCATTCTGGGATATATCTGCCTTTTGTAGTCTGTTTGAAATTGGAGACTGAGACACAGCAGACTGCAAGGAACAAAGCTTCCTTTTGATTTGGACACTTGCAGAGCTCACAGTTACACAGAATCTCTCTGTGAGCTCTGACTGGGGTGACTCATTCCCCTTCTACATATAGAACACTTTCGCACGTATAAGAGTTATAAAACATTAACAGAAACTCTTTTGTACAATGCAATGGTTTCCACAGAACTGAACTCTTTAGGTATTTCATAGAAACTGTTTTACCATTAATTGCTCTTCCTTGTTACTGTTTAAACAACACCTATTTCAAACTGACCGTTCCCAGCTTCTGCACAGATGTTTATCCTGTTTAGAAACTCTGCTAATTTCTGCAAAGTCATCTTACACCCTTGTGACCTTCAGCAAATATGCTGCTTGCTTAAAAATTAAGATATGAGTTGAACACCCAATTTTAACTTCACACTCTTCTGAGGCCTTTCTCTCCTTCTCATACACTTCTTAGACACTTGTCGAAGAGCCACGGTGAAAAAGGTGAGCTAAAATGACTGTCTGAAACCGTAGCTCACCACACATATACGGCTGAAAGTGCGCATATGCAGAAAAAGATTGCTAACATAGAACGGCCTTACGTAAACGTATCACCAGAATGATTGACAAGTTGGAGGAACACTTATTTAGATGATCCCTCTGAAAATAATAGATCGTCATCTATACCTTTAAAGCCTTTAAATTGATTAAATGCATAGTTTTGAATTCCAGAATATGAGAGAAAAATCTGACAACAGGTCCAGTAACATTGATTGAGTAAAGTTTCCGAGAAACTTCTGTCAGTCCGTTGTTCTATATGTCTTCCCTGAAATGTTTTAATAACAGAAGAGATTGCTCATCCATTTGTTTATTACTAAGACCAACCTTAAAGTTATTTATTAACCTGATCATTGATTCTTATTAACAGTTTGGTTAAATTTTAACATTCTACAGTTTGTAAAAATCAAATCCAAAATTTCCAGCCATGAACTCTGACAATGTATCACCGAAACACAGCTGGTTGCTTAGCAGATTTGATCTGATTATATTCTCTCCAGTAGATAACTGGGATTTTATTGCTTATGTTTCAGGAAGGGGGGGCCTTTGGATCCCTGCCTCAGGCCACAGGTTACCACGTACTCTATCCCCAAGTGGTTGAAGAGAACCCTCATGTTCCTGATGAAGCCCTTTGTGAGTTCTGTCTCCCTGTTCCAGAAATAACAATATGATTCAGATGGAGATTTACTTTTTTTCTCACGTTATCCTCAGTCTCCTCGGATCCCTGCTGTCCTGGGCGCCCTCTGTGGAGTCAGGTGTGATCATGTTTCCATAGCTTGGTTGCTTATATTTTTCATAATTTTCTTTTAAAATGTTTCTTGGAACAGATTTCTTTAGATCTCCTCCTTAATCTTATTGTGTTTGTAGATCACCCCCAGATGTTTGGAAGCAGCATGCTGATGTGGAGGTACTGCTTTTACCCAGCAGATGATTCCTATAGTTTTTTATTTATTTTTCATTTTGTTTTAATTTTTGGCTAATTGTGTGTTTTGTTTAGGACTACATTTCTGAGACGATTGCACACTGGAGGAAACACAACATAGACGTGCTGCTCTGCCCAATGATCGGACCAGCTTTCAACTTTCTGTACTGCGGCCAACTCACATGTACGATACACCAAGTAGCTTCTTTTAAACATTTTGGACCTCATGTAGAGAAGAGTGGCTAACTTTCATCCTCAAAATGTTTGGTATTTGTATGAAAGAACCTTTGACATATTTGCCTGCCCCTAAATGCACTTGCAAATTCCCTAACCATCACGTGTCCAAATAACCATGGCAACGATACCCTCAGGCTGTCCTTGTCAACACACCTCAGTGACATTTTTTTCGAGCCGACCAGCAACGTATTGAGTAACATCAGTGACTCTAAAGAACTTGAAAATCAACATTTTTTCGTTGTTTTGTTTTACATTATTTGCATCAAGTCCAAAAGCGTCATCTAGCTACTGCTGTTCAATTCAGTTACAGCTTAATGTTGATCATTGTAATTTTTAACAAACCACCATATTTCTATTAGGAACACTGTCACCTTAATATGTGATGTAAAAGTATTGTCCTTTAAATATAAACGGTCACAAAAAAAAGAGGTCAGCCATTTCATAGCTTGCTTAGGTCTGTTTCTAATGCAGCTATTATATTATAATACTTAATAATCATTGTTATTACTATAATTATTATTATAACATAAAGGAATCCTGTGTTAAACTAGGCCAAAGTAGCCTACTAATACATTATTGACATGTTTGTGCATCACAAAGAGTTGCATAGCTCTTTTATCAAAATATGTACTGTTCATAAAAGAAAATGCATTCCCTGAAGGTGTTTTTGTAGTGATATTAGGGCGGTAATCATATTTGGAAATCAAATCTTTGCTTTAATTTGATGAAGATTATGCTTTTATTTGTGCAGGGGCAGTGCACCACAAAACATTGACCTAAAATTAGAAAATATGCCCAGTGTCATGTTATAGCAAATTATACTAATTTCCACCTGCAGCCTCTCTTGACAGGCTGATACTAATCATATCTGTTTTGCATGAAAATATAGGAGAGAAAAAATCCATTGAACACACATACTAATACAAAAACAACCGCATATATCATAACACACTTTGTGGAAAACTGTTCACTGCATCTCTATACAACACTTCTGCTTATACAGTAAACACAACTAGTCACTCATGCACACATGCATTTACCCTCTCGAACACATACTTTCTAAATAAACCAGCAATACTTTCATTTAACACATTCATCACTTATGAGGGAAAACGTGCTTAAATAGAAGCTGTTTTATCATCAAATTAACAACATTGATAAACTTTTAAATTTTATGATCTAATTTTGTATTTCACTGACTCATGCAAACAACAGGGAAGATGGATCCAACAGGTCTTACATTTTAGAATGCTGCATTCTCCTCTAGAGGTTGGCTTTTTAACTTTAGTTGGGCTTTTTTTAGCTCGGTTTAACAACCCTAAAAGCAGAAGCTGCAATATTATGAAGGCTGTTAGAAATTGAGCAGATGTTAGCATCATAACAAGGTTATCCAAATTTAAGAAGTTGTATTTGGGAGGAATCAGTCAGGGGTCATATTGTCTAGAATCCTTGTTGTGAATTTTTATTGCCCTTTTAAAGCTGCAGTCTGTAACATTGAGAAGAGAGCAGACTTTGACTGAAAATTTGAAGAAAAACAGGTTTCACGCCACTCCCCCACCCTCTCTGCTTTACTCATGCCCCACCTCCAAGCTCCACCCCTCTCACAGCATCTGCACGGCTACCGCATGCGACCACAAGCGTCCAAGCAGCGTACACGGCATGGAGTGTGAACCGGTAAGAGCGATAACACTCACCTCCAAGCAGCTAGATATAAGATGCTGGTTATACCGAAGTTTGCCGTGTAAGAAGTTGTCGGCAGGGGCAGTAAGGGCAGTTTCTCTTTCATTGGTGGCTGTCGCTCCGCCATGACTTCCACGCGCGTCCTCCTGACTGCTGCAGCCGGGCGCTGCGGCAGGTTAAGCGGTGAGAGAGGGGGCGGGATTCAGCGTGTGTGAGCTCTGATTGACACTCCATCAGACGCTCCTCTGGCTGTGATTGGTTGTTTTGACTCGTCCCGAATTATTCTTTCCAGATTGAAATACAGGCAGTATGCGGGACCAATTGAAGCATTTTTTTTCACAGGTTACATATCATATGTACTGCTGTCTGTGCATAGGGACAGTTTTAGCCAATATGACAAAAAAGTGATTTTTAAAAACTTACAGACTTCAGCTTTAAAGGACGATTCAGAAAGTTTGAGACTCTTTGCATGCCTGTGACCGGTTAGTTACAAAATCAAATAAAAATTATTTAAAAAAATTTATTAATATATAAATATTATTAGTTTGTTAAAGATAGGCTCTCTGTATGCACCCTGATGCTCTATCTCTCCGGTTCTTTTCCCTGAAAAGAGATCACTTGGGACAAAATCTTTAAATAACACTTCATAACTTATATGTATTAAATAACCAGGAGACATGACAACAGATTCTGATAGAAATTGTAATCTTACTCAGATCAGAGAAATTGCTTAGAATGTACAGAAGGCAGCTGCTCTTCTTCGGGCTCACCTCTCAGGAAATGGCCCTCATTAACAGTTAAAAAGGCATTTTATACATCTCCAGTCTGCCATATCATCTTATTCTACATCATACATGTTGGCAAATGATTAGACATCCATGGCTCAAGCCTAATCAAAATATTACACTTCATTCTTATCTGAAGGACACCGCTCTCATTCCATTTCCAAATCTTTGCCAAGTACAGAATTAAAGATTATAACTGTATATCCAAACAGAGGAACTGTCTTAATTAGATTAAAACATCATTTCTGACACGCAACAGGCTGCCAATACCAAGGTGTAATAAACTCACACATTTTTAATGATAATTATCCTAACTAGCACAGTTCTTTCCAGAGTTGCACATATCTAAACCAGCTAATTAGCCATACATTATCATGACCAGGAGCTCAGTAAGATCTCTGACTGCACAATTTCTGCATTCTGTTATGGCTGCCATCCCCCCACAGTTATGCACATCTTCTAGCTTGGCCACCTGATGAATTATCACACCTCACTTGTTTGGAATTAATCTACTAATGTACTACCCTTTTTTTTATTGAAAATTAAGATATGTTTTCATATTTCTTTTTTAGGTATGTAATGTTACTGCATGAGACATTATGTGATTAAAAAAACTGCGACGTTATCAAGGTTTAACTCATGCTCCTTGCAGCAAATAAAACTAAATGGAGTCATATTGTAGTGTATTTACCTATGTTATTTTTGTTTTGTTTTTTTGCTGTGCCGCAGAGGCTCAAGTTAGGTGTTTTGGAAGAGATTTATCAGTGGAGTTGAAGAAAAGTGGCATATGTACCAAAACAATCCCATATCAAGCAATCTTTCTCCAAGTTCTACTTATTCTTTCCCCCTTTTCCTTTAGGTCTCGCCAGCATAACAATGCTGTACAATCTGCTCAATTTTCCGGCTGGTGCAGTCCCCGTATCCACAGTGACGTCGCAGGACGAGGAAGACCTCAAAGATTTTAGGGGCAATTACCAGGACACCTGGGACAAGCTGCATAAACAGGTGATACTGTGTTTATTGGGGCAAGCGATAGCATTTTAATCTTTAAAACTAAAATTATGATACTTTGCACTTATGGACAATCGGTCACATTTTTTTCTGTTTTATTTAGCAAAAGCACTACTGCAACAGTTATTGAATATTAAACTAACCAGCTAATTCTTTGTGTATAAAAAAAAAATACATTTTAATCAAACTAAAGACCTTTTTTTTATTTTTTTAGTTTTTGTCCTTTCCTCTCTTCCACTGATAATGCACAATAAACCACCTTAGTGTGGAAGTACCTTCTACGTCCAGTAGGGAGAAGCAAAGACCACAGTGTTCAGTTGGTATGGCATTTCATTGGCATCATCTCTCTGTGTTTTAGGCTGTGACTGGGGGCGAGGGTTTACCCGTGGCGGTGCAGTGCGTGGCCCTGCCGTGGCAGGATGAGCTCTGCCTGCGCTTCATGAAGGAGGTGGAACAACTCGTAAAACACAAGAAACCTTAGAACTATGTCGTTGTCCTGCACCACACAGCCAAGTAAAAATTATTTCTGGAGTGGTGCATTATGAGCACATTATGTTTGATAAAGATTCAGGTTTTACATGAGGTAGGTAAAGCTTAATAACTGCAGCAAAAATCCTTAACATGGTGAAAAGGAAAAAAAAAAAGCAAACGAAAAAAAGGGGAAGGAAGGTGATTAATGATTTCTTAAAAGTAGCTAATAGTTTGTAAGAAAAAAAACAAACATTAAAACTGATTTATTTTGTGGGCGGTAAAAATATTTTTGAACAATAAATCTACTTAATGTTAGCAACTGTATTTTATTAGTAAATACTTTCCATTGCCTATATTGAAATGCCAAGTAATTTAGAAATGTTTATTAATATTTCTTGATTTTTGTTTTTACTTTGCATATAAATTCTAAAAGAAAATGTAGATTTTTTTTAAAAGAAAGTTGTATTTTTTATAGCTGTATTTGATCTTGACCAGAACACGAATGACACATTCCAAGATGGGCAAACAAGTGTGCAATTAATGTAAAACAATCTGTATAATAATCCCAGCTTCTGTAAAGAATAATAAAGATAAAATGTTATATTGATTTTTTGTTATTAAATATCTAATATGATTTAGCAAATAAAAATGATAAATAACTGGATGTCATTTTTCAGAATCAGGAGATTATTTTCTTGTTATATGTACACTTATTCCTCTGAACATCTGGGTAGATTCTGGGATGCCTTTACAGTGAAGCAGGTGGCGGAGTTAATATTTAATAAAGTAATAAAAAATAAAGGTATGCATGTATTCAAGACACCTGTCTGCTTTGATGACCTAAAACCTCTTTGTTTTTCCTCTGCACGTTCACATCGCTGAGCAGCACATGAGTGAAGATCATTTTTATTCATATTCAGAATGGTTGTTGCGTTGATGCCTTTGCTGGAAAAAGGAAAGAGATAAAGGAGACTAATGACACATGGCGCCTCCATCTTCAAGGCTAGTGCACCGTGTCCTCATATAGTGATTACCCCGTGTTATTGTAAATATGTGTTTCTGTTGGGTTTACATAAATTTACATACGTGTGTAAACACTCCTGGAATGGGAAACCATTAGAGGCGATGTCAGCGTTTTCCATTACGGCCTCTCTGTTTCGTTTTGTTGTGTTTTTTTTTGGTTTGCACCTCTGCCGTCTATCCAAATGGAAATGGGCCGCACGCACGGCGGAGGACGAAGGGCACATTAGGTGAGGAGGAGAGCGGGAATTGAGAGGTTGTTCTTAGCATTATCTGCAGCACATAGAGAGGCAGTGTGCCTCTTGCTGTGCCACTCAGTCAGGGTGCATTAAGCCTTAAGAGCCAGTGAAGAGACTCAGGTCTTCAGAGGGAACTTGACATTGTTCATAAATCCCTCAGCATCGGAGGCAGAATTAAGGACACGCGCATATATATGCACTATTTCAGTTGGTCTCATTTTACACATCAGCAATTAAATGATTGTGTATGTTTTATTAAAATAAACACTGTTATTACTTATGTACTTTGGGAAAAAAAAAGCAAACATTATCACAGGAGATGTTAATCATGTTTTATGAGTTATTACAAAAAGAAACATTTGCCAAATGGACCATAGACTTTTTTTCAATTTTGACTTTACGCCTCTTTTTTTATTTTGAATAACAGCTTAATGTATGCATCTTTTGATGTTAGAATTGTCTCTGCTGATTAATTGTAAGTTAGGCTAAATATTGATTGGATCCTTTTAAAAAGCACTACACACCCTTTTATCATACAAAGCCAGAACTGTGGAGTTCTTAATCGTCTCTTTTGGTGATATAAATGTGTATTGGTCTGTGTGCCGAGGAGTATTTTAAATCTAACTGGGAAAAAAAGATGCAGATTAAATAAAAAAAAAAGGCAGGTGAGATCATTTATCAGGTGGATAAGCTGTAGAAAAATCACTCATGTCAACAAATAGCTGCATAAAGGCGTGTGGTTTTGTGGAAGGATGATAGTTGGCTGCTCCTGCATCACCATGGGAATAATGCAGTAGATCCAAATTGGCTGTATGACTTCTGCTTTTTGTGTTTTGTTTGTTTTTTTTGTTGTTTTTTTTGTTTTGTTTTTTTTGTTTTGTTTTTTTTACCCAAATCTATTTAAACATTAATCCAGCTTCTCATACTATGAGTGCTGACCTAGGGTCTCATTCATCAAAGTTTTACTAAAAATATGTGTATGCCAAAAAACAACATGCAAAAATGACGTACTTTAAAAGATATTTCAGATAAGTCAAACCATGCTCATGCATAAACACAAGCAAATCACACCAGTGTGCTCAAGTATGCAGTTAATTAATGCCATTGTGTATTAAAATAAGCCTGCTGATGTTATTCAATGATTACTGATTGACACTGTAGTGAACGGCGTGAAAAGGTGCTGTTTAACTGAAGCAGAAATAGATGTGTCTTTTTAAGGAAAGATGTGTGATGAGTGAGGAGGAGATAAGAATACTGTCATATTGCCATTCCAAGAAGCACTTGGAATGGCAATATGATCCTGATGTGTGGACTGATCATATTAACAATGCCATCTAAGATAGTGGGCAGTATTGAGACTTGCTTTGGCTTTGATATCTCTGATTTATGGGTCATTTTTTTCCATAAAAGCTGCTTTAGGCAGAGAGATAATCAATTGTTTATGTTTTACACCTGTAGGGGGAATTTTTCTGCTAAGAGCTGGTTGTCAGAAACCCCAGAGTGTTTAACACCTGTAATTAATAAAAAAAAAAAAAAAGAAAAGATTGCAGAAAATCTGCAAAAGCAACATTATCTGTGAGATGTTTCCATTAAGATGTTTCCTAACTTCTCTACAGATAGATTAATTATTGTGGATCTTAAGCTGACTGCGTAGTGAAGCCATGTACATTTTTTTGCCCATTTGAAAAAATGTATATCAAAATTTAATTAGGAAAAATCTAAATCTCCACTGAATTACAATGTGATATTTGATGCTCATGACGACATTGATCTATGACTTATGTTTTATATAAAGTAACATTGAAAGTTAATCTGACTTCATTTGTACACCTTGCTATCTTTGCCGACATTTTTCCCTTTCCTCTAAAATGTGCATATTTACGTGTCGAGGTGATGTGACCAAACATTTTTACAGCAAGTGGTATGCACAAGTTTTTGGCCCTGCTTTACGCATAAGCATGTTTATGCTATAAAGCTGTAAAGCAGCACATTTTTGATTTGATACAATTTTAAAATGTAGTAATTACTAACAGACTTTTTTGTCAACTAATGCTGTTTGTCTTGGTCTTCAGGATGCATGTTTACTAATGCTATGCTGCATTGATGAGGCAATTGATGCAAAAGGAGCCCCAACTAAGAATTAAGTACACATGAAGACATCTCAAGATACATTTCTTTTTAAAACATAATTTTGACTTTTTTCTAAAATATGAAAAAAAAAAAAAAAGTTTAGCTTTTAACTGTACATTTTACATGCAACTGATGACTGATTTGAAGGGGCTAAAAGACAAGGTACCATAAATGACCCCTCTAAGTTTTTGCAACACCACATCATTTGTATGATTTTCTCTTTTAATTCACTTCAACAGTAAAAGTTTTTTGCTGGACAAGCTTCTTCTGGATGAGCGTGTGGTGACGATGGATATTCACTTGCATTGTGTCCAGCAATCCCTCACACCGAGCATGTATGCAGTGACAGTGGAGAGGAAAAACATCCAGCAGTACCAGGCTCAGCATAAGTGGCCTTCTGCTGACTCGGGTTCTAGGAGATAGAAGCAGACATAAAAAAGGAACATATAAGCACTGAGCCATTAATACTTTACATGTTAGAAAAGGTAATGGTAAACTAGCTCTATAGATGGTTCAGTCTAGGAAAGAAACATTTACTGTATGCTGCCAAGCATCTGATCCAGATTTCATGCCTAAGTGAAAGGCAGTACATTCAGTTTGTCACAGTAAAAGCTGATAGCTATGTCTAGGACAGAAAAAAGACTAAGCACTGAAAGACAGGCCCAACTCTATTATCTATAATTGTAACTGTTAATGGCCTCAGCCCAGCTGATATTTCCCAAGGATGGTCTGACAGCCAACAGAATCATGCAAGATGAAGCTACTATGATGAGAAAAAGCAGAGAGAACATAAAGTCAGGGACTTAACTAACAAATACTGCAGAAATTGAGACTAGAGATAAAATGAGGCAGAATGATGAAAAATGGCCCCTATGTCCCCAAGCGGCCTAAACCTATAGCAGCAGTAATATAGAGATAGTTCAGGATAACAAATAAGATTTAAACCCAGCCTCTAGACCAAGAGCCAAAGATCTTGAACAGAGAAGATCCTTCGAGCTGATAAATTTAGATATAGGATGTATTGTTCTCAGCACAATTTAAAGCTTTAAAATAATAGGTTGCTTATTAATGCATGAGTCGGATTGAAATAATTCTTAAATCCTTGTGCCCAATTATTATTGCAATTCGTTAGAATATTTTTCTAAATTGTTTAACATCCAAATACTTTAAAAAATGTATATTTTCCTGATCTTACATGGATTACATATCCCCTCTTTGATTAATCTAGTAGAGCTGTACTTAAAACTATGATTCTGCCTCATGATGGGTTTTGTTTCGTTGACCTAATATGCGCTTATGAAGGAAAAAAAAAACATTTTGCAGCTAACAACCAAGAACCATGACTGTTATGAGCTCAAGACATGAAAAAGGCATATACCACCTCTGGGACCCCCTGAGCAGTTATTCCTAAAAAGGTTGTTTGGAAAATGCTCTGATTCCGATCCTAAATAGAAAGAAATCTTTTTTTTCTATTTTGATGCTGCAAGGTTTTGCTGAAAAAGCCAGCCTTATCCGAGATAGCCACAACAAACAAAGTGCTGCCTAAACTGCTGAGTTGGTCTGCAAAACCAAAATTATGATATTAATTATAATAATTACAATTGGTTGTATAACAGAAATTCTTGACATTGGTATCAGATGTAATTTTAAAAGGAATTTATGGCTGCTGTTGTCATAGAAGGCAAAAGTGTGTAACTCAGATTTCGAAGGAAGATGGAATGTGTCTAATAGCAAGAAGTACCAGGTTGCTGATTTTACTCTTCTTGTTGTTCCTCAGGTTTTTTTTTTTTTTTAAACCAGTCAGAATGTGCAAAGCTCAATGTTACATAGAGACTCAAATATACACAACTCTCTTGTAGAAATCTAAATTGTCTGTTTTAAGGTCACATAAAATAATGGAAACTCGTATCTGTTAGTAACAGCACATCCATGTTTTTATGTCCTTTACATCTGTCAAACTCCCAGGTTTGGCCTTGCTGGGTCCAAAGTGATGCAAGTGATGTCATTGTTTTTCAAGCCTGTGCTGATGCTTTTCTGTTGAACCACATTTTTATGGAATTTTTTTATTTTGCTTGTATAGTGAGTAAAATAAGTAATCTAACACCCTGCTATTTAGCAAATTCTCCCACTTAGAAATCATGGAGGCGTCTGAAATTGTCATTGTAGGTGCATGTCCACTGTGAGAGACATGATCTAAAAAAATATCCCAATGTATGATTTATTTTAACTATTTATATGTTACAGCTGCAAATTAGTATTTGAACACCTGTCTATCAGCTAGAATTCTGACCTTCAAAGACCTGCTAATTTGCCTTCAAAATGTCCACCTCCACTCCATTAATTATCCTAAATTAGATGCACCTGTTTAAAGTCGTTAGCTGCATAAAGACACCTGTCCACCCCATACAATCAGTAAGAATCCAATTACTAA